GCAAAGACAGGTTGAAGATGAAGGCGGCTCTGCTGCAGCTTCAAGTGGCAGTCTGAGAGAAGGCAAAGAGAAGGCCCATTACCCTACACCCAAGCACCCCAAACCCTACAAACACTACTTGAAGGTTCATGGTACTTACTAACCAATTATAACTGTACATATAACCCTACTTATAATACCCCTAAAGGGCCTTATAGGGGGTTATCCCACTGATAAGTAGGGTTATAAGCCCAGTTATAATTGGTTAGTAAGTACCATGAACCTCCAAGTAGACCTCCTACCACTCCTAAGCCTCCTAAAACCTCGCAGCGCTACTCCCTCGGCCCCTCCTACTACCTCACCTCAAAAAGACCCCCTTAACCCCCCCTTCACTCCCCCCAAACCCCCAAACCCTAAACTCCAACTCTCTAAAAAACCCTAAACTCTTAAACCCTAAACCACCCCCTAAAACCTAAACCCTAAACCCTTTGAGGACGTCCAGGACATCTGCGCCGGCGCTTACGCCTTCGCGGCCCTCCGAGAGGATGGGGCCGCTGCCTGGCGGTCTTGCCGAGAGAACCCCATTTAGGGCTTGGGGTTTAGGGTTTAGGGTTTAGGGTTTAGGGTCTAGGGTTTAGGGTTTAGGGTTTAGGGTTTAGGGTTTAGGGTTTAGGGTTTAGGGGTGTCTTGTTTAGGGGCGTCTTTCCCCGAATATTAACCCCCCCCCTACCCCCCTGCTATTCAATACCCCGAGTATAGTTCTATTCTAGTATAGAGGGGGGGGGGGGGGGGGGCGTGTAATATTAGGGGTGTTGGGGGGGTTTAATATTAAGGGGAGGGGATTACAGGGGCACAGGGTTATAATGTTACAGCCTAATAGCCGTTATAGCGTTGTAGTGTTGTAATGCTAGAGTGTTAAAGTGTGATCGTGATGTAGCGTTGTAGTTTTCGTCTCTGGGCTCTTGCAAGAGCACCATTGGGGGGAGGGGCGGGCCTTGAGGGCCCTTGCTTCAGGGGTTTTCATCCGTTTTTTCTTTTTTTGTTGGGGGGGGGGGGGGGGCTTGTCCTTGAGCAAGTGGCCACCTCGGCTTGTGGGCTGTAGGGTTTAGGGTTTTGGGTTTAGGGTTTAGGGTCTAGGGTTTAGGGTTTGGGTTAGATATGCCTAGGGTTGAGGCGGGGGATCCTCTGAGAGGAGATTCGACTTTATTTAAGGGTACACCAGAAGTACCTCTGTTTCGGGAAATACATAAGGAAGTTTGCGAAAATAGGGGGCCCCCAATATAGACCCCCAGAGTCCCTTATAGTCGGAAACCCCCAGACAACATAATCCTTAGGGAAGCTTAGGGAGCCTTAGGGAGTAGTGGGGCGTATAAGGGAACCTTAGGTTGCATACCCCCCTTGAAACCCCCCTCGCTAAAGAACACCGCAAGTTTGTGGAAATACAGAAAAGAATCTTGGAGATTCACTTTGCTTTCTGTTGTATATATAGGGCCCTAATTCCCTCATTCCCTGCTAAACAACAGTAAGTTGGGAGCCCCCTAAACCCTAAACCCTAAACCCTAAACCCTAAACCCTAAACCCTGAACCCTAAACCCTAAACCCTAAACCCTAAACCCTAAACCCTAAACCCTAAACCCTAAACCCTAAACCCTAAACCCTAAACCCTAAACCCTAAGCCAGCCTCACTTGGGAGCCGCCACGCTTCCTTGCTCCAGGTTTTCTCCTGGGGCGAAGCTGCCTTTGGCGGCGACTGCGCCTGCGTGCAAGAGCAGCTCTACGACATCCAAGCGGTGCAGCTCGACCGTGAACTGGGGGGGTTTAGGGTTTAGGGTTTAGGGTTTAGGGTTCAGGGCCCCAGTCCCTAAACCCTGCACCTTAACATAAACCGCCGCGAAAGCCTCCACCCCAAAAGCACGAAAGCCCTACAGCACCTCAGTTGCTCAACGACCCGCCCCTTGAACCCCCAAACCCCAAACCCCCAAACCCTAAACCCTAAACCCTAAACCCCAAACCCTGACCCCCATAAACCCCCTCATGTTGGGGCCTGCGGTGCCCCTTTGACGGGCTCATGGTCGATCTTCGCTCCCATCCATCGACTGTCCCCGAAGCCCCTCATCGATGACTCTTCTCAGCCCTAAACTCCCCGAAAGCCCTGCTGAGGGTTTAGGGTTTAGGGTTTAGGGTTTAGGGTTTAGGGTTTAGGGTTTAGGGTTTAGGGTTTAGGGTTTAGGGTTTAGGGTTTAGGGTTTGAGGGGGAGCGGGCTCCTCATTTAGGGTTGTTAGGGTTTGGTTCGGGGTTGCGGAGAGCCCCAAGGGAGAAGTGAAGAGAAGTAGGGGCGCCCGAGGCCCCAACCGAGACCCTGAAACCCTATAGGGTTTAGGGTTTAGGGTTTAGGGTTTAGGGTTTAGGGTTCCTGAAACCCCTAAAGCCCTAAGCCCTAAACACTTAACCCTAGACCCTAGCCCTAAACCCTAAACCCTAAACCCTAAGCCCTAAAGTCTCCTGAGCCCATGAAACCCCTGAGCTCATGGAAACCCTTGAGGAAGTCCACAGCTTGTGCCTTTGCGGCTCTGACCCTTGGGCCGGTTAGGGTTTGGGTTTAGGGTTTAGGGTTTAGGGTTTAGGGTTTAGGGTTTCGGGTTTAGGGTTTCGGGTTTAGGGTTTAGGGTTTAGGGTGTGGGAAGGTGCGGGTTAGCGGGTTCAGGGTCCAGGGCTTAGGGGGTCTTGGGAATTAGGGTTTAGGGCGTGGCTTTGTAACGTCTGCGGCTTGTTGCTTTTTCGGCTCCGCGCGCCCGAAGCCCTAGAGACCCTCGAAAACCTCAAAACCCTAAGCGCCTCTAAGCCCTTGTAGCTCCAAGTATGGGCACTTAATTGGGGAACCCTTTTTCACTTTATGGAGAGGAGTTGAGTTTGAAATCTAACAAGCCCACGCCGAGGGTGGGAAAAAAAACTCGCCCTGTTTACTCCTCATGTTCACATCCATGCATGTGTCTATGAACATGCACATCATTTGGTGGCATGCTGTACATGTCATGTTTTGTGCAACTAATGCGAAAAAACTATGCAAGAGTCCTGCGAAAATGAAAACATTACAACTTGGTCAACCCCAAAACCCCAAACCCCGAACCCTAAACCCCAAACCGCCCAAGCCCTAAACCCTAAACCCCAAACCCTCAAACCCTCAAACCCTAAACCCCAAGCCCTAAACCCCAAACCCTAAACCTGTGCTGCCCAAGGAGGTCCGACGGACGCATCATCACCTGGGGAGATCCTCGATGCGGCGGCGACATCGAGAGCCCGAAGTTCGGGAAGGCCATGTTGGGTTTTTAGGCTTTTTTGGGGGGCTGACAGGGTTTAGGGTTTAGGGTTTTGGGTTTAGGGTTTAGGGTTTTGGGGCTCGGGTTTAGGATTTAGGGTTTACGGCTTCCCTGTGGCTCCCCAACCCTACGAACGAGTAGGTACTAGCCCCTTAAATATAGGGTAGCGCCCCCAAAATAGCATGTAAATGGAGCCCTAGGTAGGGTGTAGGGTTTAGGGATAATATTCGATACCCTACAGACTTCAAATGCCCTGAAAGCCGACTCCTTCGAAGCTCGAGCTTCTGAAGCTCCTTGGGTTCAGAGTCTGCCCTAAGCCCGATCAGGTCGAAAACCCTACTAACCCCAAACCATAAACCCTAACACCCTAACACCCTAACACCCTATGACCCCAAAAACCCTAAAAGGCCCTTGGATCAGTCTCCGGTTGGGCCTATGGTTTCTTAGGGTGTAGGGTTTAGGGCTAGGGTTTATGGGCCTGTAGTATGTGTAGTGTGTGCAAGGGTTTAAGGGCCCATACCATACTTCGAAGGGGAGTTACAAGTTCATGGTTGGGACGATATTAAAAATGTAGAATTTTATTGCTTATAGTGTTTAAGTACCCTTAAAAATGTAAAATGGTACCCAACTATGACAAATGTTAGAGGGGCATTTAATGCGGTCCCAAAGCTCCTTTAAGGGGTTCTGATGTTTGGGCCCTTGGGTTGTTTTGAGGGTATTTACGGGGTATGTAAGGGGTCCCTTTTTTAGGGGCCCACAGTAACGGACCATGTACCTACCCGTAGAAGACTTGGACCCTTTCATACATCAACTACCCTAAACCCTAAGCCCTAAGACTTTAAGAACCCTGAGACCCTTGGTAAACCGTAAGCCCCTTTGAGCCCTAAAAGCCTCAAAACCCCTAAGACCCTTAGAGTCAGTTGAGGGTTTTGTTTTCCGAGGAGCCGGTGCACTCGACCCCGATGCTTCCCACGCCGAACGCGGCCCGCCTCAGCCGCGCCATGTTTCACCGGACGACCTGCGCGTGAAGAAGATGAGAGCGCAGGGACCTCCTGAGCCCTAAGCCCTGAACACGAAAGCCCTGAAAGCCCAAATCCTAAACCCCAAAAGTTTAGCAAAAAAAGAAGAAAATCTTAACCCTAAAGCGCCTGAACCCCAAAACCCTAGAAGCCCAAAACCCTAAAGCCCTCAAGCCTCACCACCTCACTGTTTACACGCTCGTAAGACCTCGAGGCGGTGCCCTTCTCTCTCATTTCTTGTGGGGCCTAGGTTCCCTTTCCCAGACCCCTTTGAACAAGAAAGGGCGCCCCTTTTTCGGGGTTTAGGGTTTCGGGAGAGACCCTTGGCTGAAACTTGGGGATTGGCGTGTAGTTGTGGTTTAGGGTTGAGGGTTTAGGGTTTGGGGTGGCAAAGGCCGGCAGTGCGAATGCAAGCAATGCTGAGATCTTTCCATATTTTCCGTTAATTGGGTGGAGTCGGCTTACGTGGGGCATTTGGTTTTCCCAATCCCTCAACCAAGCACAAGACGACATACGACGCGCACATGTTGGGTTTGGGCCTACCAAGACGTCATCGAAACTCTAAACCCTAAACCCTAAACCCTAAACCCTAAACCCTAAACCCTAAACCCCAAACCCTAAACCCTAAACCCTAAACCCTAGCCCTAAACCCTAAACCCTGTCGGTAGGGCCGGGTAAGCCCAGGGCACAACTCGGCCATCAGTGCCTGCGCGGAAGCTGGCAGGCTGGTGGCCCCTAGGAGCCCCAGATGACAAACCCAGGGTTTAGGGTTCAGGGTTTAGGGTTTAGGGTTTCGGGTTTAGGGCTTAGGGTTTCGGGTATAGGGTTTAGGATTTGGGGTTTAGGGTTTAGGGTTTAGGGTTTGAGGGCTTAGGGGGTTCCTCAGGCTACTGCCATGGGACTCTAGCTTGGCTTCTGGCCTGAAGATACCTTGCTTGAGGTGGGGTTGCCTGGGTGGGGGGGGAGGGGCGATGTACGAGTTCGGTGTTTTTTGTTCCTTTTTGGGTCCCAAAACTGCACGGCCACCTTATGACAAGGAATTCCCCAAAAAAGGAGCCCGAATTTCGAGAGAAGAAGCCCCAAGCCCGAAATCCCGATTGCGTGGCCGAAGGTGGCGCCACTCCCTCTCTATCTTGCATGGCCTGGCGCAGCGCTCTTGGGCACCAGGCAGCCCAGAGACTCCAAAGGTATGCTCCTAAATTCAGGGGTTTAGCGAGTTTTTGGCAATTGAGGGTGCGTGGGGGGCGCTTTTAGGATTTTGGGGGGGGCTTTTGGCCGTTCCAGTGTGGCTCCCGAAGTCTCTGAAAGAGGGGGGGGAAAGCTTCTATGATTTCATCCCCCATTAACCCCACCATCCTGACAAAAATGAGGGGGTTTAGATGGGCTGCTTTTGTTTTTGAGGGGGGGAGCGGGGGTGTTGCAACGGCAGGCGCCGTCAGCTTCAACGCTGCCCTGAATTCGCTTGTCCGGGATGGAGGCGACAGGGCCCCCCCTGAACGCTGAACTCTAAACCTTGGGATGTTCCCCTTATACCAACAGCCCTCAATAATAACAGTAATAATAATTGAAATGCTAATATAATAATTATTATTATTCGTATTATTATACTAATAATAATAATAATGGGGTACTAGAATCCTAACTTAAGGACTGTGAGTATAGGGGGAACATGCCAGCCTACACCTTAAACCCCAGATTTCATGGCATGCGGCGGCTAAGGGCTTGGGGCTTCGCAAGATGTGGAGCTTCGGGGGGTTTGGCCTTGTGGTTTCTGAGTGTGGGTCCTCTTTCTTTGGTTGGCTGAGTTCTGAACTTCTAGGCAGGTCGTGGGTCATGCTATGCTTCCCCTTATTTGGTTTGAGACGCAGGTGAAGACATTTTAGAAGGCTTGTGGCTGAGTTTGGGGGGAGGGGGGGTTAGGGCTTAGGGAGGTATAGGCTTACAGGGTTGAGGGTTTGAGAGTTTAGGGTTTGGGGGTTTTGCCACGAACGTGTTGCAGACCCGTTGGCCCGGTATCCAAAATCCTATCATCATCCCCAGTCCCCTGTGTAGCCTGGGCCCAAGTCAGATGACGCTGCTTGAAGATTGCGTTGAGGCACAGGAGCGTCTTGAAAAGGCCAGCTTTGGTGATGCCATCAGCCGTGAACACTACACCCTAAATCCCAAACGTCAGCATGAATTTGAGTCCCTTGAGGACAGCGCTGGGAACTCTCGATCAGCTCGCTGTCGCAGATGGCACAGAGCCCCGCCGTTTCGGTCTCCCAAGAGTTTAGAAAGGGTTTAGGGGCTTCAGAGAAGTGAGGGCCTGGCATCTGAGTCAGGGTTTAGGGTTGAGGGCCACTGGCTGTGGTGCCAAAACTGAGCTTTGAAGTTTTAGGGTCTAGGCTTGGGTGGCCACGGCTGCAAAGACAGCCGTGAGTTGCGGCCCCCCGGTTCGAAAGTCGCATTCCATCGACCTGCAGCATCCGCAAGAACCAATCCCAAAACCCCACAAACCTCAAACCCCTTAAAGTTACAAGAAGGAGCCAGCCCGCAAGACTCAAGGAGCCGGCTGCAGCCAGACGAATTCAGCATGACCGCCTCGATTTCTGCCTTGGGAGCGACGTGGCTGGAGCTGTAGAGAGCGCGGGGGTGGGGGGGCAACCCTAATTTACGCAAAGCCTCCGGAGCCCCCCCCAAGTTGGCCAGCCCTAATGAGCCCTCTTCAGCGTTTTTTTTAGAAAAGAGCGGGCTGGAGGACATAGGGCACTTTAGGAACTTTACGCAAAGGACACTATTGATAGACGTTGCTGGGGCCGGGGGGGCTTTTGCATTGTAGAGGTTGAGGCTTCTTTCTTCGGGCTGCTCTTTACAGAATGATAGCAAGAGACCCGAAGCTTCTCTTGGATACCCTCTCTACAATGACTGAGTTTTTCCTACTTAGAACCCAATCCCAGGGCCTCTAAACGAAGCCTGATTCGAACTGAGGGTAGGGTCCCCGACTCGTACCAGTTCAGGGACTTGGCCGTTTCTTTCTTTCCTTGCGTGTGCGGAGGGGCGAAAGTTCTTCGGGTTCTACAGTCTTTGGGAGCTTGCTAGGGCTCATGGTTAGCCCCTTGAGGTTAAGTGCCGGGGCTCCTTGTTGGATGCCGGGTTCAGGGCCATTTTGGGTTTAGGGTTTCAGGTTAGGGTGAGGGTTTCAGGGTTTAGGTGTTTTTTCGTGGGGAAAACCCCAGACTCCACACCCCAAACTCCTCAACCGTACAGAAGAACCAAGGACGGCGGCGGTTGGCCATTGGCTCTCTCCATGTTGGATTGCATGACTGCCTGGGGTCTTGCGACTTGTCACATCTGAGTGTAGTGCTTGGCGTTTACGGTTACACCTGCTCAGCCAGCAGTCAGAAGAACTTTTCGAGCTTCGAAGTCGGAAGGCAAAATAAGTTTAACCTTTTTGTTCTTTGTTTATTGTTAAGTATCCAATCTAAGAATAGCTCTCAGGGAGCAAGATCAAAAGCTCCACGATGGCAAGTTCGCTTAGTTTAAATACCATCGTGAAGAGATCGTACCTGAATCCCGGAACACGGACTACATGACACAACCCAACAAGCACCCAAATCTTTTAAACCCCTAAACCTAGGTTTGAACCCTACCTCTCCTCAACGCGGCCAGCCATATCTCCGGCACATGTTGCTTTGGGATCTGCAGCTTCGCAGAGGATCCCTTGGCGAAAAAGAACCCACAGCATTCCGATCCTGCCGCAGTAACAGAGCACAATAGATATATATATATATATATATAGATATATATATATATACACACACATATATATATATATAGATACATATATATATATGTATACATATATATATATATATATATATCAACACCCGACCTGCGGCAATAGAGTAGAGATGGCTCTTGCAGTCCTTGGAAACTGCACTGTGGCCATCCCTTGCCGAGCTGGCCCGATGGCTCTGCGCGAAACCCTGGCGCCCTTGGGTTTAGGGTTTAGGGTTTAGGGCTTAAAGCTTGGAACTCCTGAATCCCTACACCCTCAACCCCTAAACTTGATTTGCGTTTAGGGGTCCCAGAGTGCCCTTAGACCCCAAGCCGAAATCCCGAAGATTCTACAGCAAAAACCCTAAACCCCCCTTGCCCACGAGCATAAAACGACTCACTCAAAGGAAGCCTCAGCCTTCTCGCGAAATGCCGCGCTTGGGCGGCTGGAGGCCACGGGTTCCACTCGACCTGGAGTTTTTGGGATTTAGGGTTTACGATGATTTGCTTCAGAACCCCCCAAGAACTGAAAGCTCATAATCCCTTTATTACCCAGCCTTATAAGGAAGAGTCTTCTGTGTTTTCTGTGGGGTTCTTAGGCCTTCAGAGGGTTACGCGCAACCTGGAAAGTTGACCTTTGTGCTTGCGGTAAGGCAAATCACTGCAAGGGAAGCATCCGAAATTGGGCTTCAGTCGGGAGAAGAACAGTACTGGAATCGATTGCTTTGTAGGTCAGGCTTAGTACTGGAATCGACGTTTCCTTGAGATAGCTGGTTGCTTCTTTGATTTGTAGTGCAAGCGTAAGACTGAAACCGACTGCAAGAAATTCGCTGCTCTTTGGCGGCTGTGGCACCCATGCATTCTTTGGGATCCCGCGTCCTGAGTCCGCTGCACTCATGGCGGCCCCCCCCCCTGCCAAAACAGTCAACTTTGCCGAGCCCCTGTACTGGGTTTGGGGGGTTTGGCTTCCTGGTTTGGGGTTAAGGTTGGCGGGTTGAGGGCTTTGGGGTTTTGGGGATTGAAGCTTTGAGGGCTTGAGGTGTTTAGGGACTGAGGCTTTGAGAGCTCTAGTTGTTTAGGGGTCAAAGGCTTGGGCGGTGGGTTTAGGGCTTTACAGTGGAATGGTTAAACAGGCTTTAGGGTTGTAAGCCCTGCCGCTACATGGCTTTCGGGCCGTTGGGAGGGGTAAGGCTGCAACGAGTTAAACAAACGGGCGGGCTCTAGCGTTTAGGGCTTTTAAGATTCTAGCATGAAGATTTAGGTCCTTACGGCTCTTACAGCTTTAGGATTTAGGATGGAGCTTTCCTTCGGGGCTTAGTAGGGTTTAGGGTTTAGAGTTTAGGGTTTCGGCCTGAACATGAAACCCTAAACCCATCGACTTGCAGTCCTCAATTAAAACCTTTCCAACAAAGTGTGCTTATAAGCCGTAGGCCATACTCATGAGATCCTTCCTGGAAGCCTAACTCTACAAACCCCAACTAAGCCCCAAAGCTTAAGCCCTACAAGATTTGGGGAGGTTGGGGTTTCGGGTTTTGGGTTTGGGGGTGCTTGGTGTCTAGCCCTAAACCCTAAACCCTAAACCCTAAACCCCTTTCAGCCCTAAACCCCTACAGGATAGCAGGCAGTGGCAAGCCGCCACGGGAGTGTTGGAGGCAGTATGGCGGAGGAGGCCGCAGCCCAACTTAGGGTTTAGAGTTTTAGGTTTTTTGGGATTCGCGTTTAGGGTTTAGGGTTTAGGGTTTAGGGCTCAGGTTTGAGGGTTTAGGGCTCATCACAATTTCGGGGTTGCGGTTTGGCGGCTTTTGTCCGGCGAGGTTGTCTCTGGGGATCACAGACAAAAACCCCAAGCCCTAAAACCCATAAACATCCAAACCCAGAAAAAGACTCCATGAGCCCAAACCCCAAACCCCAAATCCCCTGCTGGTGGAACAGAGACATCAACTGTTCGCCCTTCACGGGTTCATGAAGTTCCTAACTCCACCAACCCTTCGTCTCCTCCACTATGTTTCGAGGGTTCAGGATTTAGGGGCCTCGAATACACCATGGTTTAGGCTCATGACAACGAATATCACTGGAATATCTGGTAAGTACTATGTGAAAATATCGCAGGGGCATTATCTTTCCTTGAGGGTATATATATATATATATACATATGTATGTATATATATATATACATATATACACGCACATGTAGAGTTTGTAGTTTACTCCAGGCAAAGCTCCCCCCAACTCCCGCTCCAAAAGAAAGAGGCGATTGCGAAACAGGCTGCCCGGGGGCTTGGAGGCTTTAGGGTTTAGGGTGTCAGGGGTTTACGGGCCTTGGATGTAACGGCGGAGTTCCTGGTTGCATGGGTGACGGTCTAGCACAAGAGGTTGAGCAACAGCGTCTGCAGTGAAAGCAACATAGGTCCTCTAAAGCCGCAATGTTGCGCGCCACCGGGTTGTCTGTAACCGGCTGGTTTTAGTAGGGAATGAGGGAATGAGGTCCCTTAATAATCCCTTTCAAGGGTTTGTTGAGGGCCCTCATTCCCTCATTCCCTACTCAGAACCAGGGGGTTAAAGGCCTCCAGGCTTCTTTTGTTTCGTCCAGGCATCCACTCGATGCGCAGGCCTGCAATTCGGTGATCAGCTGCTCATCTTACAGTCACGGCCCAGAGTTTCGGGGCTCAGAATTGGGATGAATATACCTCAAACTTCTACAGGCATCCTCAGTGTGATGTAGGGTGCATTCCTCCCTTTGGGGGTGGTGTGCTCTCTAGGTGCATGGTTTGCACCTATGTAGTATGCCTTTTGGCCCTACAGAGTAGTTCGAGGGCGCAATTATATATGACACAGGTACATGGACCCTCAAGGTATGCTTGGGCTACATCTCACGCGCTGCCCCTTCCTCCCCCGCTGCTTCCCGCACTTTTTAGAGTCTAGGGCCCTATGTGAGGTAGGGTTTCCTCTGAGGGGCGCATGGGCTTTCTTCATGGGTAAGAGCTTAATTATTTTTTTTTGGGGGGGGGTCCGATTGGGGATGCCAGGAGCTAAGCCCGAAACATAGAAGCCCCACTCCCCAGCGAAGGCAGCTGCAGCCGTGCCGGCCAGGGGATGCAGGCCCGCAGGCTGCTGGACAGGACACGGCAACGGGTTGCACAACAGGGCTTAGGGGCTGAATGCCCTCCCCCCTAATATTCCCCCCCCACCTTACTCCCTAATATTCACTACCCCCCGTATACTATACATAATATATGGTATAACAAGATTGAGAGTAAACATCAGGGAGTAGCGGGGGTTTAATATCCGGACTGAGGGGTTTTAAGAGGGTGTCGGGGCCGTCCCAAGCCTCAAATCCTAGGGGCCTTGCGCGGCCTCTTCTTGAGACAAGCAGGCCCCGTGAAGGAAGCTATCGTGTAGCCTAGTTCTGTGTAGGGGTTGAGGGCTGAGGGCTTAAAGGAACCTAAGGCAACCGACAACAAAGGCCGGCTTTGGGGGGGGGGGGGGGGGGGGGGGGGGGTCCTTACAGGAGATCCCAAGGCTGCTTATGGCAGTTTGGGATGCCATTCATTGCTTTGTGTGTTTGGAGGGAGGGGGTGGCCGTTGTTAATGAGTAATCTTGTGGACCCTGAGACCCCTAAACCCCAAACCCCAAACCCCAAACCCTAAACCTTAAACCCTAAACCCTAAACCCCAAACCCCAAACCCCAAACCTCAACTCAGGGGTCTGGGGGCTCTCTCAGCAGGATGCCGGAGATGCGGCTGGCACCAGACACAGCGGGAGCCCTACACTTTGACTGCCTCAGCTAGGGTCGTAAGTCTCAGGGTTTAGGGTTCAGGGTTTAGGGTTTAGGGAAACTAGGACCCGGTGTGTGTTTCTAGGACCAAGGGCTTAAAATTGCAAATGTAGTTTGGGGTTCAGGGTTTAGGGATACTAGGACCCAGAGTAGGCCCTTATTCCCCTCGTTTGTTGGCTTCGGTTCCTACGCCCCCTTTATTCAACCAATTCCTAGGTCAGTTAAAGTCAGAGATGTGAGGATTCGGTTTTGGGGCTTTCAGGGCTAAGTAGGGTTTAGGGTTGGGATGTTCCCCCCTATACTAACAGTCCTTAATAGGGATTATAATGGTGGGTACTAAGTATAAGGGAGAACATCCCAAGTTTAGGGTTTATGGGGCTTTTGGAGTTGTAGGGCCGAGATGGGCTGAGGGCTGAGGGCTGAGGATCTGCGCAGCGATTTGTGGGGATGAACGTCCTGCGCCGAAGCCTGGTTGTCATCCGTTCGTTAGGGCCTAACATCGGGGTCGGAGTCGATACTAGTAGTGTTCCCTTCTGGTCCCTTTCTACTTATACTATAATGACCCTAGAAGCCTATTCCAACTTGTCAGGCCAACATGAGCCCTGAACCCTAAAACCCTAAGAACCCTTAAAACCCTTAAAGCCCTTAAAACCCTAAAACCCTAAAACCCTAAAACCCTAAAACCCTAAAACCCTGATCAGTAAGCTGGCAACTGAATGTGTTTCGCAATCTTAAGCTGTTCAAGGTAGTGTATGGATCGTGTCGTGGGCGTCGTTCAACTTGCTCAGGCCGCTGTTTCCTCCAACCTTTTCGGGCTCGCCTGCCCTTTTCATTGTGGACCAGTCTCTCTGCCTTCCCTGGCATTATCCTTTCTTCTGGGGTTGATTTCGGGTATAGGTCTAGTCGTCGCCCTTCTGGTGAGGTTCCGACACTCATTGTGGCCACCGGCTGCTCCGGCAGCCCCTTCGAGCCGGCTTGCAGGGTACTTGCATGAGCAGCCCCCCCACACCCTCAGACATCGACATAGTTGAGCTTGAGGTTATCTTTGGGGGTCTTAGAGTCTCTGCTAGAGGTTCTGCTGGGGATACTGCCCGATTCTTGTCACTGTTGAGGCACGCGGAATCTGCCTTTGGCCAACCGGCACCTGTGCAGCTTCAGAGCCCTGCGGAGAGCTCCTTCCTGTTGGTGCCCAGTCCTTCTTCCAGCACCAACCCAAGCACTCACCAGGGCCAGTCTTCGCTTTGCCCGAATAGGGACGAGCTCCTCGCATCTTTCCCAGATTGCCCACAAGATCTCCTTGCCGCCTCTTTTGGTTTAGGGGGTTCCGTTAGTGCCGGCAGAGCTAGGGTTTCTAGGGCGTGGCTCGCCGGCTGCTGGGCTCAGGCCACACTCCAGAGACAGGTAGACAGTCCGAACGTGACTCCTGCACTGAGCATTGCAAATCGCTTGTACATTGTCCTGCAGGATCCTGCGGGGGTCCGTTGCACGCGCATTTTTCGCACCGCCAGGGACTACTTCCGCTTTGTGGGGAGTCCTCCCAGTGGCTTGTCTGTTTCGCACGCCTTCCCTTCTGAGACAGAAGGTCGAGCCTTTTGCCGCGCTGCAGGCGTGAGGTGGGACGACTTGCAATGAATGCCTCAGAGGTTGTGCCTTTGACACACGGGGTACAGCTTTACTTGCTGGATAGGACTGACTCGGGTGCTTCTTTTCAGGCGCAATGTTTGGTTATACTAGCACGTGCTGGGGGCTTCTTGCTTGGAGTGCCTGTGGACACTTTCTCAACAGCGGAGTTGAAGCATGGCCAGTCGGCCTCACCGGACGAGCTGATTGGGCCGTCGACAGAAGTGACAGTGGGTGCTCTCGCTGACCCAACTTGGCCGCCAAATCTCGGTTACCTTGGTGGATGTACGGGAGGAGGCTGCTGCGCTACTCCTGCCCATGGATCTGGAGGAGGAACCGGAGTTCTTGCATACTTTCGACATGGACGCTCCCGAGGCATTACCAGTCTTCCAGGAGCTGATCGATGCTGCAAGGGCCTGGATTGCTGCCGGAGATGCGCAGGAGAGGGTTCTTTTCTACTCAGCCGAGGAGGGGGAGCCATCTGCTCATGTGCCTCCTGCAAAGAAGGCAGCCAAGGCTGCAGCGCCAGCCAAGGCGAAGAGACCCACAACAGCCCTGCTGTCTGGGCAGGTACAGGTTTTGGAGTCTCTCTTGCCGGCCCTCACTTCCCAGCTCGAGTCCCTGGCCGCGCGCCAAGCCGCAATGGAGGAGGTTTTGGCAAAGCGCCCTCAAGCCTCAGTGTCTGCGCCCCCACCTGCGCAGCAGCCTGCACTGCACCAGCCTGCACAGCACCAGCCTGCACAGCACCTGCCTATGTCTGCATCTCTTGCTCAGCCATTAGGGGCCGCTGTCTCCCCCCCGGTGGGAGGCCTTGCCGCTGCAGTAGGGGTGCTAGGCCCGCCGCCCCGGACTCGTCAGGCTCAGGTATTGAAGGATCAGCCCGCAGCGGCGGCTGGATTGCCAGAACTCCTTGCAGAGGAGGCAGAAGAAGGGTTAGGCAGGGAGAGGTCCGATCCGCTCTCCCAAGCTGTCCTGGCACAATCGAATGCCCTGACTGCCCTGGTCGCCCAACTCGCGGCCCAAAGCGGAGACACCTTCCCCGATTTGACTGGAGTTCCGGGAGGGTCTGCCGCCTCCAGAGGGGCCACCCAGAGAGCACGGCTCCAGGAAGAATTGGCGATGGGATCTGGAGCCTTTTACACAGCAGTCACGCAGAACATGTTGCGCCGGATGCAACCTGCCACCCCTGTTGCTTCAGCCGATCTGGCTTCGCTACACAAGCAAGGGGTCAACATGTGCACCTACCTAGAGAGGTTCGGTGGTTTTGCCCAGACAAGGGAGCTGGGGCTCATTGCTTGGCTCGTGGGTATCATCTTCGACCTGCTTCAGGCAGACCAGGTAGAGGCATGCAAAGACAGGGTTGCTCTCCTCCTGGTTCTTCTCGAACAGGGAGCGATGGACGCCGGACGGCTGGACATCGCATACCTCCTCACACTGGCCGAGGACCCACCAATTGGACTCTTCACAAACAAGACCGTCTTGAGCACTTCCAGGGCTCGGAGTTTCGCCCCGTTGGCCTCCCAAAAGTGGGTGACGACTGCGTTAGCCTTCCTACGGGAAATGGACCTGATCCAGAGCAAACGTCAGGAGCTGTGGGGAGGAGGCGTGGGAGGTCGTCAGGTCCCCAAGGATCCGAGTACGGCTTCTGGCTCCGGAAGCGACGAACAAAACCTGAGCGGAACGAGGCGGATTCAAGAGCCCCAAAGAAGAAAGCATCCCCACAAACAGGCTAGTCGGTCGTGACTCTGCCGGGGCCGACCCCAATGTCACTGCCTCAACAGCTTTGGCTGCCCCCTCGGGCAGCCCTAATCCTACTTTGTCCCATGGAGCTGCTCCTAGTGGTGCCGCCAACCCCTTGCGAGCCGCCTCGCATACGCACTACGAACCGGCCCCTGAGCAGAGCTTGGACTTTGATGCAACTATTTCTTTTCGGCCATGGTCCGCCTCCCTTCCTAGATGGATCCTCGCTACCCGGGCCCGTCTGGCGGCCTTGTTGCGATGTACTTTTTCTTTTGCTGCGCCAAGAGGTGAGCTTGAGCCTCCCTCCTCCGCACTGTTCCCGCTGCCGGGCTACCTGGCCCCTTCTTTCCTAAGCAGTGGCCCAAAGCTGTCACAACGACATTGGCGCAGGACTCGAGAAGATCGGCTTGTGCACATAATCGCTATGGCCCTTAACCTTCTTCACTGCAATGGCCGCTGGCCCATTCCTGCCCTGCTTTGGAGGCGCCCTTCAGAAGCTCAACGAAGCATTTTGGACAAACTTCGGGCGCTTGTTCGTGCGTGTGAGTCTCGCCAGGAACACTTTCCCTTGCCTCCTGGCCGCTCTGGGTTTGAATTCATGTCCCGTTTGATGGACCTTGAGGCCTTTGCGTCTCTGCATTGTGATGTTGGTGGCTATGCGAAGCCAGAGCCACCTGCATATCAGCCTGCCACCGGTGAGGCTGACCATGAAGCTGAGGCTCCGACTGCCACCGCCCCTGACCCCGCAGGCAAGGTGGCTGTCCCGAGCCTCGACCACAAGCGTGCTGAGTTGCATCCATACAGGTCACTTGATGTCGACAGGTTGAAGCTGTCTGGAATGGCGCAGTGGCCCACGGAGCAATTCTTGGATGGCCCATTCTGGTTACCCTACCAGGAGCCTCGGGCGCTGCTACACGAAGCCCCGGTCGACTGGAGCAACACCCCATCCTTCACGGATTCAAAGGCCGAAATGGAGAAATTGGTGAAGATGTGGGATGCTCAGCACCTGTTGGCGTGGCATCGAGCCCCGCTCCTTGATGACCACTTTTGCAAAATCTTTAACGCCTACAAATCACCGCTTCGAGACCGTCAGATTGGTGACCGAAGAATCGCTAACCAACGTGAGCTCCATTTGGCAGGTCCCTCTGCTGATCTCCCGCAGCCTTATCTGCTGGCGTATTTGGTGGTTCCTCGGGGCCATGTTGTGCGTGGCTATGTGTCGGACCGCAAAGATTTCTATCACCAGTGCCAGGTAACTGCTGAAAGATCGGCTTCTAATCTCCTGCCCTTGCGTCTGAGCTGAGAGGAAATTTCCATGCTTGGCCTTGGAACCCTGCCAGATGAGCACGTGCGCAAGCCTGCCGACCGGTCGGTGATCGGGGATGGGTTGTCGGCCCCACATGTGCAAATGCAGCGGACGCCTGTTGGCACACCGGGTATTTTCTACCCAGGATTCCGCTCACTGTTGCAAGGCGACCACATGGGAGTCGAATTTGCCCTGGAAAGCCACAGCCAGCTTCTTCAAGGGGCTGGATGCCTCCACCCTCTCCAGAGGTTGAGAGCCAATCACCCAATGCCCTGGCCCGGAGTTCTTGAGGCTCTTTTCATCGACGATTATGTTGCCCTCTCGGCCCAAACGCTTGGTGACTTTCACGCGGGTAAGCCGCCGCTTGCAAGCAAGCTCCATGCCCAGGCCACTGCTGCCTATGCCACCCACCAGGTCCTTGGCAGTCCTGAAAAGGACGTGGTAGGAGAAACGCTCTTCACTGCTATAGGGGCTGAGGTTGACGCTAGACCTAGGGTTGTTCAGGGCATTGGGGTTCTAGTTGGTTGCCCGCTTGGTAAGAGACTCTCCCTCGCTGCCCTCTCGCTCCGCGCCGCGCGCCTGCCAATCTCAACTGAGAAGTTTGCTTCGCGCCTTGCGGGCGCTTGGGTCTCTGCTACAATGTTCCGGCGGCCATCCATGGTCACACCTTCAGAGCGGCTGCCCCTCAGCCGGGTCTTTCTTCGGTCACACCTTTCGCTTTGGGTCGGGCTGTCAGGGAAGAGTGGGCGCTTGCCAGCGCTCTCTCTCTTGTTCTGGTGTCAAACGCCTCCCTGCAACCTGAAACACAGGTCTTCGCTACAGATGCGTCCACACGTAAAGGAGGTATTGTGTCCGCTCGGCTTGAACCTTCCTCGGCCACGTCTCTGTGGCTTGCTGGGGATAAGAGGGGGTCCTACACTGTCCTCGACCGTCCTGTCGCAGGGTACCTCAGGTCACTTGGCGAGGAAGTTCAGGACTTGCTCGATCATGACTTGGCACGTGAGGGATGGTTTGACTCGAATTCCACCCCTTCCCCGTCAAAGCATCTGCCCTTGAGATTCGATATGATCGAGATCTGTGGCGTGTCGGGGCTTGTGTCAAGTGAGATCTCAAAGCTGGGTCTGACTCCAGGACCTGTGATCGACGTGAGTAGGAGCCCTCATTATGACGTGCTCGATGCTTCGTTGGTTTCTTGCATCATTTCATGGCTGCACCAGGGCGTAGCGCGGTCACTCATGCTCTCGCCTCCTGGCGGCACCTTCTCACCAGCTGCTAGGCCGAAGGTTAGGAGCTACCGTGAGCCAGAAGGCTTCCTGCCGAGGAGCCCGAAGGCCACCCTTGGCAACAGAGTGGCGAAACGCTGCATCCTGCTCTTTAGAGTTTGTGTCACGTTGGGCCTCCCTGGCCTCCTTGACCAACCGCGAAAATCAATCTTGGCCTGGACATCATGGTGGATCTCAGCCGCTAAGAAAAAGGGGGTCTCTGAATGGCAGTTGGCTACCTGCGCATGCGGATCTACTCACCAGAGGGAGCACAGGTTCTTAGGGACTAGGATCTCGGACCGTTTGCTGTCATCAAGGTGCACCTGCGAGCGGGACAGTCTTTCAAAGGGTGCGGCAAACTGCCCTAGCCTAGCACTTGCAATCGCTCGCTCCTTTGCTGAGGCCCTGAGGGGGTGTGCTCTGAGCTCGTACCCAAAACGGCCTGCCCTCGAGTCAGTCATCGTCAACGACCTGTTACTGACAGCAAAGTGGTCCCTTCACAGGGCTTGGTACTGGCAGAGATCAAGCCGCATAAATATACTTGAGTTGTCAGTCGTGGTTTCATTGCTCACGGAGCTTGCAAAGACTAGGCAGTGGTCGAGGGTTACGGTCTTGGTCGACTCGCTGGTCACCAAGGGCAGCCTCGCCAAAGGCCGTTCTTCCAGCCTTGCATTGACCCCTCTTCTCAGAAAGGCTTCTGCAATTCAACTCGCGGCAGGTGTGCATTCGACATACCACTATGCACCTACCCGCCTTAATATTGCAGACGATCCGACACGTGAGGCTTGCCTTCGAGAGGGAGCGGCAATAGCTTTGCACCAGCGCCTGAGTCCGCTTGCCTTCCATCGGCTGGCTTGCATCAACCACGCTCGACCAGTTGCCGGTTGGGCGCGTCTTGTGCTAGTTTGCCTTTGCGTAAAGTGCCCCGCGGATTGGCATCAAGTGAGTTCCCTGCTTGAAGCTGAGCTCCGGCCACCAACGCCTGGCCATTCCCTCTGGAACCCCACGCTTGGATATCCTGGGGAAGGCCCAGCTTGCTTGACCTCTAATGTTGCTGCGCCAGCTGTCGAGGTCGGCCCCTCGGGAGTTTGCTGGGGCCTGGCCCTTCTGCCAGTTGCTGCCTTCGGCGATTTTTTCCTTGTCGTTATCATATGCCTCGCACAGGGTTTGCATCTTAGTGAAGGGACCATCAGGTTTCTCCTCCTGCCTTCTATCACTGCTTCCTCTCGATCCACTGCTTCTGCCGTGCACTGCTGCTCATTTGGTCTCGGTTCCTCATGTAGCCTGGTCTGTGCCAACAATTCCCAGCACCAAGGCATCGCAGCTTTTGTCTTGCACCTCAGCACCATCTTATGGCTCTGCTGCTGTCTTTGCGGGGGATTCTTCCCATCCTCATCTCGTCAGGTCTCGTCGTCCATCCGTAGACTTAGTATGTCGTGGATAGTGCCCCTAGTCTTTCTAGGTAGCCTGGGATGTGCTCATGGCGCCCTCCTTGCACTGACGAAAGCTGACCAAGCGCGTGCTGCTGTACGAAACTCCGTAAGACTGGTGCCGGATCGTGTGGTGAGGCCGCTTACGAGGACTAGGCGTTCGGCGCTGTTAGAGCAGTTCGCCCGGTGGCTGGCTGGCTCGGGTCGGCGTCCGCTGAAAGAGCTTCTTGCCCTTCCTGCAGATCAAGCTGAGATTGTTGCGCAAGCTTTGGTTGATTTTGGTCTTGAGCTGTTTAGCTCGGGGCGGAGCTATTCATCCTACGCTGAGACTATCAAAGCGGTTGCAGCTGCAAGGCCCTTACTTCGACGATGCTAACCCAATCGTGGGACCTAGCTTTCGCTTGGCTTGCAGAAGAACCTCACATACATCATGTTGCGATGCCTGTCAGTGTGTTGTTGGGGCTTGTGGCTGCGGCGCTCGCTTGGGGTTGGCTTCGTGAAGCTGGGGTGTTCAGCCTGGCATGGGCAGGTTTGTTGAGGATAGGGGAGGTGCTCGCCGCTACGCGACACCACCTCATTCTCCCTCGTGACTCGGCCCCAGGAGTCAGCCACGCCATCCTTCAGATTAGTGCCCCAAAGACAAGAGGGAGGGCAGCGCGCCATCAGGCGTCACGTGTGGACCCATCAGACTTGGTGCAACTCTTGGACGTTGCCTTTGGTGAGCTGGACGCCAGTGAGAAACTCTGGCCATGGTCGGCCAGCACCTTGCGAAAGAGGCTCCATCTGCTTCTTGAGGCCCTCTGCTTACCGACGACGCATCAACGTGATTGTCGAGCTTTCGATTTGGGGTCTTTCAGACCGGGAGGGGCAACGTGGCTCCTTGAGAGAACTGAAAATTCAGAATTGGTGCGGAGACGCGGCCGCTGGCTGTCGGTCCGTGTCATGGAGATTTATCTCCAGGAAGTTGCTGCAGCCTCCTATGTGCCAAGACTTCAACCCCACCAACGCTGGCGCGTCCAGGTCATGGCCCAAGCTTTCCCGCACTTGCTCAAGAAGGCAGCTTTCTTTTCACAAGCGAGGATCCCACCCAGTGCGTGGTATTTTCTTCTTCGAGGTTCTGGCCACACAGGGTAATTTGCGAAACAGTCTTGGAAGAGTTGGAAGATGTGCCAGTTTTTCCTCTAGCCTCTGAACAAGTTCGTGAGGCAACTTTCGGAGGGCAGGTCTCAGCTGGCCTCTTTTGCAGTACAGTGCAATCGCCGGCCCTGCCTCCTCAACAACTCCTTTGCAGTCTGCGCAGCAGAAAAGCAGGAGCGAGTGCAGTAAGGCGCCATGCTTAAAACCCTAAAACCCTAAAACCCTAAAACCCTAAAACCCTAAAACCCTAAAACCCTAAAACCCTAAAACCCTAAAACCCTAAACCCCTGAAACGCCTGAAACCCCAAACCGCGCTTAGGGATCCACGAGGCCACGGGTTTTCAGCCCTGCCCCGAGGGGCTACTCTACCTGACTAGGACCCTGGGATGCTTCCGAGGTTCCCTCATTATTGGGGGCGAGGCCACGGGTTTTTCAGCCAGCCCGAGGGGCCCCTACTCTCCTGACTAGTGACACTGGGCTGATTCCGAGGTTTCCCTCATATTGGGGGTGGGGGGGGGGGGGGGTGGGGGGGGCATTATGTGGGGGGGGGGGGGGGGGTTTAGGGTTTAGGGGACCCTCACCTTGGGATGTTGTTGAGAGGCGCTAGCAAGAAGCAGCACCTCTGTGGGTGCCGACAGCAGCCGCACGAAGACTTTCGACCCTCAACGCCAAACCCTAAACCCTAAACCCCTAAAACCCCTAAACCCATCCCCAAGCCCCTAAACCCCAATCCCCAAAACCTAAACCCCAATCCCTACTAGGTAGGCCCTTGGGACATGTCATATTTTCCCTTCTTGGGCATAAGGGGACCACATTCAGGAACATCTCTCAGAGGGTTTTAAGGGCCATCCTAGCCTAAACCCTAAACTCCAAACCCCTGTCGGTCCGGAGCAAGCTTGGTTAAGCCATATGAAAATTCGCCCTACAGCAGCTGCTCCCTAAAAACCCTAAAACCCTAAACCCTAATGTCCCTGAAACCCTAAAACCGTAAACCCTAAATCCTGCTGTCCCTAAAACCCTAAGCCCTGAACACCTACTCAGGTCAGTGTCAACGCAGCGCTGGCCAGTGCAGACTGGGCTGAGGCAGGGCAGAGTTGGCTGATGCAGTTCGGGGTTTTATGGCCTAGGGTTTAGGGGTTTAGGGTTTAGGGTTAGGGTTTAGGGTTTAGGGTTTAGGGTTTAGGGTTTAGGGTTTGGGGTTTAGGGTTTAGGCCCCAGGGCCGTACGGGAGACTGTGAGTTCCGGGTGTTGCTTGACCGACACAGCGCGGGGGCGATGCCACAAGACCTCAGCATGGTAAGCTTGGCTTGGCAATGAGTCGTATGGGATACGAGTCTGGGGTTTGGGGCTTATGGGCTGCAAATATCATCCAACATCTGCTGAGACGAACTGTCGAAGCCAAGATACCATAAGATGTGAAAGACAAACCCATGCTTCTGAATGAACCTCGCGACGGGTTAGTCTGTTCACGGCTGTTTTGGTTCTTGAGATTTCTGAAAGTTTTCCTTGTCGCACACGAACATTCGCGCCGGCGTCGTGAACCCATGACATTCTGTCAAGTGTACTGCTGACACAACATGACACAAAAAGATAGAGCCCAGAATAGGTATCGTGGATGATAAGGCCCCTGATACTGCTCGGACTACCCATCTTCGGCCCCAAACCCTAACCGCTAGCTCGCAAGACCCTCAACCCTTATCTCCCCCCCCTCCCCCTAACAGCCTCGAACCCTTAGAACCCCTTAACAACCCTGCAAACCCCCGTACAAGCCCCCCAACCTCTTCCACCCATACAACCCCTTTAAGCCCTTCAAACCCTTCTTAAACCCAACCCAAACCCCTAAGCCCTAAACCCGCATAACCCGTTCACCCCCCCCTAAACCTCTTAAGCCCTTACCCCTTAAGGCCCTTAGAACCCCCTTAAAGCCTCTTAAACCCTAAACCCTAAACCCTTAACCCCCGAAAGCCCTGAAAACCCCCAAACTCGTAAGCTCCTGCATCCAGGTGCTAGAGCTCTTGTCCTTCATGGCTAGGCGTCTACTCCAGGCATTTAGGGTTTCGGGTCTAGGGTTTAAGGTTTAGGGCTTCCTTTCACTGGGTATGAGTCTGCCTTCCTGGTGGTTTGGAAATGCAGTGCGGTCTTCATAGGACTTGTTTTTGCTAGGGCGCGAGGGTTTACGGGGCTATTTTAAGGTTGGGTTTTCTCATTTAGTCCTTGTTGTTTGTTCAGGGGTGAAGGGGGGGGGGAGGGGGCCTGCAGAGGCCTTTTGCCCAGTCTTGCGGAATGGAGGGCTTGGGTTTTACGGGTTTTGGGGTTAGGGGGTTTAGGAGCTTATAGAAGGCTCCGTTGGGTTCCCCCTCGAGATCTTGGGTTGAGGGGGGTTGAGGGATCTTAGTAGGGACTATAACAGGCGTACTACAATCTATTAAGGACTGCTAGGATAAGGGGGACACATCCCAACATACCCCTGAAATTTCTTTGAAGGGGCATGCCCTCCGAGGTATGTTGAAGGTCTAGGGTTTAGGGTTTAAGGTTCTTGGAGCAACCCTCCGCCCCAAAAACCTCGCAGAGGTGGATGCTTTCACCATCAGCACCTCTATCCGTGGCTCTAGCTCAACTTAACTTTCGGGGAGTCCTGGCGTTTGGGGTTTAGGGCTTAGACCCGTTTAGGGTTTCAGGGTTTCAGGTTCAGGGTTTTGGGTTTTGGGTCTTAGGGTCTTAGGGTCTTAGGGGACGTGGCATGAGTCCAAGCGGGTCTGCCCTTCACCCTAATTCACCTAAAACTGCGCCACAACCCGTAATCCCCCCCGATTCCCGAAGCCGCGAAACCCGAGATTTCCCCAAAGGTTCCTGGTAGGGCTTTTAGGGTTTAGGGCTGCGGGGCTTTTGCTTTAGGGCTTCGGGGCGTGTCTTTGGGGTTAGGGTATTTCAGGGCTTGCGTTTTGGGTGTTCAAGTGGGGGGGGATTTAAGGTTCTACTGGTGTCGAGTTTTGCATTTTAAGGACCTTGGGGAGTTTATGGCAGGGGCTTCAGGGCTTTGTCGGGTTTTAAGAATTTCGGGGTGTTAGGGCTTCAGGGTTCTGTGGGGTTTTGAGGCAAGTTGTGGGCTTTAGAGGTATTCGGGGTGTTAACAATGTTAGGGTTCTAAGGCTTAGGGGTTGTTGGGTCATAGGGCTGTGACAGCTTTAGGGGACTGAGCTCTTTTGGAAGGTAGTGTTTTCGGCTTACTGGGCTTAGAAGGGGGAGCTAGGTGTTTTTGTTGACGGATTTGGACATTGGTGTTGTACAGCTTTTCGGGGCTTCGAGAGCTTCGGGAGCTTTACTGTCTACTTGGTCGCTGCTGCGGAGCTAAAACTTAGCACCCTAAACTACCCTAGACCCTTAGCCCTTAACCCTAAACCCTAAAACCCAAACCCTAAACGCTACGTTTCTGATTTTAGGGCATCAATGAAATATTTCAGGGTTACCATGGACTCTTGGACAAGGTGCCTCGGCTGGAGAGCGGGGTCTGCGCCTGTTCCGGGACTTTGCGCGGCTCCGGGCGGATCTGAACCAGGCCCGCTAGGGCTTTCGGGTTCAGGGTTTCGGGTTTAGGGTTTAGGGTTTTTGGGGTTGAATAGAGTCCTGCATTTAAAGTTTAAAGCTTGAATTCGGAATCAGGGTGTAAGGGGTTAAGTTTTGGAGTTTGGGGTTGGTAAGAGTCTTGGATGTAGTTCGAATTCAGGATATATCGGGTTCCGGCCCTGAGGTCTGGAGTTTGGGTTTGCCGGTGCCTTGGCCTTACCTAACCCTAAACCCTAGACCCTGCTCCGTAGCGGTCGCAGAGGAGCCACGTGGAGGGGCCCAAAGGGACCACAATTTAGAAAAGTGGCTTCTTATGAGCCAGTGTAGGGCTCTTCCTCTTCTACTTCTAACTAGGGTTAGGGTTTAGGGTTTAGGGTTTAGGGTTTAGGGTTTAGGGTATAGGGCGCCTACTTGCAGAAGATTTAGGAACTCGTGGCTGCGACCAGGAGGGCTGGGAGGCTTTAGGCTCGAGTCTTCAGGGTCTCTTTGGATGCTCCTTAGTGCCTTAAGTTACTGTAGCTTAGTAGCTGAGCGAGTACACTTTACTTCTTTTTGGGATACGATAACCCCCTATAGAACTGAAAAGGCTCATGAACTCAGCAACCAAGGGAATAATTGGTGTTTTAGCTATGTTAAGCAACAAGGGTAGCTTCTGGTTCTGGTCGCTTACTTTTTAGGTTCCTGAAAAGCAAGTGGGAGACGGACCAGGGGCGTGCATCTCGCCTTGCTTTAGATTTGTAAGCATGGAGGGGTTTAGGCTATTTTTAGGGCGCTGCACCCTAAACCCCAAACCCTAACCCCTAAACCCCTAAACCCTAAACCCCTCACCTAGTTGCCCTGAACCCTAAACCCCTAAACCCTAAACAGGTTGCATACAACGCCGCCATCGCCGTGGCTCGGCAGCAAGTGGCTGCTGACCAAAGCGTCATCCTCGAGAGCTTCGAGTTTAGGGTTTAGGGTTTAAGGTTCAGGGTTTAGGGTTTAAGGTTTAGGGTTTAGGGTTTAGGGAACCTAGTATTGGTTTAAGAGGATCATGTTGAGGAAAAGCATTCCGGGGTTTAGCGAAGCTTTAACCTTTTTGGCTTTCCAGCTTTAGTAGGAATATTGAAGTTTAGGTTTTTTGTCCATGGGCTGTTGGAGAAGTACTCGGAGCACAAGGTCATTTTGGGGGCCTAGGGTTTCAGGTCGAGGCACTTGGAAGGTGAAGGATTTGCTGGCACCATTTGTGGCAGTAAGTTAAAAGCATCCCTTATGATCCTCGCAAGCTCCGGATGTTCCCCTTATACTAGCAATCCTGAATAGGGATTTTGATAGGGGTTACTGTTAGTATAAGGGCCACACATCCCAACCCGAAGCCCTTGTGTCTCCGAAGCAAAGAGGGGGCTCACAATTTTGCTCGGCTCACCCCCAGGAGCCCCCAAAGCACCCCTTGAAAAGGACCCAAAAAAAACCTAAGCCCCAAACCTCGAACTTTAAAAACCTAAACCTCGTACCCTAAACCCGGGACTTTCCACTAATCCTCGAACCCCGCGCCCCCGAAATCCTCCTTCAACTTTCAGCACTCAGGTTCTCCCAAAGCAATTGCAACTCCTGAACCCAAACCCTACACCTTAAACCCTCAAAACCTCCCCCCTCCCCCCTCCCTTGAAACAACTCCTCAGCCGATCGACCCGCAGCCCGAAACCCCAAACCCCAAACCCTAAACCCCAAACCCTAAACCCTAAACCCCAAACCCCAAACCCTAAACCCGAAACCCTAAGCCCTAAGCCCCAAACCCTCAACCCCCCCCCCCCCCCCCCCCCGGACCGTTTGCTGGAGGCCTGTGCCTCTGGCGGTCGCTGGCAGGCCCCGCGAAGAGAAGAAGGGAGTTGCCCTCTGCAGGGCGAAAAGCTTGGGGCGTAGGGTTTAGGGTTTAGGGTTTACGGTTTAGGGTTTGGGATTTAGGGTTTAGGGTTTAGGGCTTGGGGGGTTTGGGGCTTAGGGTTTGGGATTTAGGGTTTGGGGTTTTGGGATTTGGGGTTTAGGGCTTTTAGGCTTTGGAGTTTCCTTGCTAGCCCAGTGCTGCCCTTTTTGGGGTTCAAGGCTCCCTTAGACACTTGAAGGGGTGGCCTTATCATGATGTGGTTCCTGGGCTACCAAGTTTCTTAGGTCCTTCGGCTGTGTCCCTAAACCCTAAACCCTAAATCCAAAACAAAATCAGGGCTTGAGGGACTTTCGGGTTTCAAAACTTCAGACCTTTAGGGTTTAAGGGCTTCAGGGTGTTTGTCGAGCTGCGTGGCTGTTTTCGCAGTGCCCCGTCACTTCCCGTTGTGTTCTTTCACTTGCCCACTATACAAAATAGACCCCCGAAGACGAAGCTCCAAAACCCCAAAGCTGTGGCCATGACCGGCGACGGCCATGGAAGCCAAGACTAGGGAGGCCCTTGGGGGCATTTTGCATTTTCCCTTATTGGGTTTAAGAGGATCATGTTCAGGAGTATCTTTCAGAGGGTCTTAAGACCACTAGGGTGGGCCACATGATGCCACATGATGTTGTTCGATATTCATGCACCAGTCGCTCCTACCTGGGCCCGCAGGCCTCAATGGGTAGCCAACCCACAGGCCTACCGGTAGGCCTACTGCTAGGTTACCCACAGGCCTGCCCGAAGGTCTACGGGTAGCCTAGCCACAGGCCTACCGGTAGGCTACCCACAGGCCTATGCCTACCGGTGGCCTACCCGCAGGCCTGCCCGCAGGCGTAGGCTCCCGGCCTACTCGCAGCATTTGTCAGGGTGCTAATCCTCGAAAATCGATAGGGGCTCACCAACCAAGTTGCGCAACGTGCGGCGCACACTGTTTTGTCAGTCAAGATTGTGTATACACATGGCTAGCTCTCGAAACTTGGGTCCCTTTTTTGGGTTCCCTAGAGAATACGGCACCTATACAAAAAGGATCCCCAAAAGGAATCCTAGTTTAGAGATCTGCCCACATCATACCATGGCGCCAATTCTCGACCTGCCAGGAAGCCGGTGCACTACTCCAAGAGATGGATGAGGCGTTTAGGGTTTAGGGATTAGGGTTTCGGGAGGCGCGCAAGCGTGCCCTGCCCCCAAAAGCCCAAACGCATGGAGAGCCCAATACCGCTTAACTAAGTACATCTTAAATCATACCCTCTTCAGTTAAGGCTTGCATTCACCCAACCCGACTTGCTTCATTCAGGCTTGTTTCTTGGGGCGGGGCATGTGGGATCCAACTGCAAACCTCCGTGACTAGCCGACAGGATGTCCTCACACTCACGTTTCTTAAGAAGCCCACGGTTTAGGGTTTAGGGTTTAGGGTTTAGGGTTTAGGGTTCCACAAGTCGACCTGAAACCCTCAACCCCTGCCGCGCAGGCTGCTGTCGTCCCGGACATGCGCCTCGGCGGCGCAAGTGGTAAGAACAAACGTGTCACCCAAAAGGCCCTGTTGTGGCTCGATAAGACCAGAAGCCCTAAGAGGCACCAGCCTCCTTGCAATATAGGGGTCGGAAGAATTACTTATGGTACTCCCTTAGGGTCCCTTTGTGCTTATACTATACTACCCCCAAAACCCTGTTCTGACCACTAAAGCCCCTTTGGTAGGCGAATGGGTTTTTGGAGGATTAGGGTTTAAGCACAGGTTTCGGGTGCACGGATCGACAAGGTCGACAAGCGCATCACGTCTTGGAAGTTCCGCACTCATGGGTTTAGGGTTTAGGGTTTAGGGTTCAGGGTTTAGGGTTTAGGGTTAGGGTTTAGGGTTTAGCACTCCACCCTTCTTTCCGCAACACGCTGTTACGCAAAGCCCTTGTCCGATCCGGCAGCTTCATTTGAGTTGAATTGTAGGAAGAGCAGCCCTAAACCCTCAACCCTAAACCCTAAACCCCAAACCCTAAACCCTAAACCCCAAACCCTAAACCCTAAGCCGAAGCCCTAACCACTTTGCCCTCGGGCATCTAAGTTTCGAATCCCCAAAAACGGCATCCTACGAAGCCCTTGGCTGGTTTAGGGTTTAGGGTTTAGGGTTTAGGGTTTAGGGTTTAGGGTTTAGGGTTTAGGGTTTAGGGTTTAGGGTTTAGGAAAAGAAGCCCTTAGTCCCATACCCGAAGCCCTGGCCTAGACGTACTAGAAGGGATACTTTCACAGCCTGTAGTAGGATTATAAGAGCCACACTTGGCGCTAGGTAAGTTAAGCCTTCCCATATTGGGTTTCTGAGGATCATCTCAGGCTTATACTATTTCAAGCCCTAACCCCTCAACCCTCAACCCTCAACCCTAAACCCTAAACCCTAAACCCTAAACCCTAAACCCTAAACCCTAAACCCTAAACCCTAAACCCTAAACCCTAAGCAAAGGGGTTTTCAGTACCATCCCCGGGCTTTTCCCCGACTCCCAGGATCAGCTTCAACTCCGCCGTCGACGTGTGCGAGAAGGGCGGGCAGTGGCAGGTGCCTGGGACCCATTCATCTGCTGCTCTTAGTGGTTCAAAACCAGGGTTTAGGGTTTAGGGTTTAGGGTTGAGAGGAACCGGAGTGGGCCCTCATTTTCTTGAAAGATCCGCTTAGAACCAGAAAGGGTGTCCTTTTTATTCCTAGGTTACTCCTGGTCTAGTCTAGTATTTGCTTGGGAACCCCCAACGAATCTTCCTTATAAGGGTATAAGCATAACGGGTATTGTCGCCAAAGAAATATATACGGATTCTTCCTTATAAGGGGTAGTAGAAGGATTATTGTCGTTTTTTTTTTTTAAGGGGGGGGAGGCGGGGGTGGTACTTAGGCAAGCGGTAGTCATGAGTTAGGCCCAAGACAGGAACATAGGCGTAGGGTTTGGGGTACAGAACGGCGTTTCGGAAGGTTGGGGCTTAGGGGTTAATGAGACATGGACATCCTAAACCTGAAACCCGAGAATGCTTGCAACCCGAAATTATCTAAATCCCAACACATCCCCTGGCTCCTGTGCATTAAGAGGAGACTTTATTCAATGAGGGTTTAGGGATCTAGGGCGCTCAAGTATAGAGCCCTGTTTCGAAGTAATTCCGGAGATGTACGAGAGGTACCGGCTTACTGGTTACAGCTTTTCCGGTTCACTGCGAGTAGAACTTCTGGGCTTCCGGTGATTATGTAGAAAGAAAAGCAGAGTAATTAATACCCACGGTAGGAGCAAGAGCTGGGTGGTTTTGGCGGCCAAGTGCTAAGGTCAACCCTATGTAGAAGCACCTCATACAAATTGCATTCTTGATTATTTTGTGTCTACATGTATCTACATAAAAAACGGCTCATATGGTTTGCCGTTTGCTTTGGACATCACATGCTGATATATGCGTTCAAACACAAAACGACCACACAAAGAGCTCACATGGATTGCTTTTTGCTCTTGGGATAAGACTTGTGAAGTCGTTTGTTCGGATGCTGTAGTTTGGGGCCTTTTGTTGAACGGCTCATGCACACGAGAAGCCCGCATACCCACAAACACTTCGACCCTAAGCCCTTTTGCCAGCTGTGAGGTCAAGTAGTGGGAGCGTTCGGCCCGTGAGGCTTCTGGTTTAGGATTTGGTGTTTACGGTGCAGGGCTGAGATTCATGGACAGAACCTCAAGTCAACCAGCTCAATACAGACAATGCTCCCAGGACCCATTGTGTAGGCACCTGCATCTTCACGAGGGTTTAGGGTTTAGATTGAAGGGAAGCGCCTCTCGTGCGTCAGACACTCATCTGACCCTTGGCATGTCTGTTTTTCAGTTTGCGCCCCAATTTGCACGTCAAAATAACCACACATATTTAGAACTCGGGGTCGTACACCTTGAATACAGGAACGGCACAACCCTACAGCCTGAAATGAAGTGACCACTACCGTGGCGCAGTTGCCGCCGAGGTTGCGCTGACCTTACTGCAGCTCGGCTTGTCAAGAACAGCCCTAACTCCTGATCTCCAAAGACCCTACAACCTCTAAGCCCCCAAATTCCCTCAACGCCCTCAGACACATACTTGGGGGGGGCCTATGCCCACTGATCAAAGGATGTCGCTAGGACCAAAAATGTTTCGCGATTGACCGTGGGCCCAGGAGGGGCACGCTGGAGGCTGCAGGGCTGCAGGAGGCCCGGCGATGGCCCTGCAATGGCCTTGCATGGTTTGGTGGAGTTGTCCGAAGTGGTGGGTGGAATCCACCACTTCGGACTTGCGGCGCGGTGCCCGCAGGAGGCCCGGCGATGGCCCCGCGATGGCCGCACGTGGCGCGCATTCGGCTGTTAGGACCAAAAACGTGCGCGTTTGACTGTGGCCCCAGGAGGCCGGAGGACCATAAAGAATTCCCAACACATTGTGTTAGGGCGATTCTGGTGGGTTTGCCCCGTCAAGGCCTTTTAGAAGAGCCCTTCCAAGGCCAACAGAACCGAAAATTCCTAACACATCGTGTTAGGGCGATATTGGGGGGGCTGAAGAGCCCCGCTAAGGCCAACAGAACCGGAAATTCCTAACGCATGGTCTTAGGGCGAGTTTGGGGGGCCCCCTCAAGCAAGGCCTTTAGAAGAGCCCTCCTAAGCCCAACAGAACCGAAAATTCCTAACGCATTGTGTTGGGGCGATTTTGGGGGGCCCCTTCAAGGCCTTTAGCAGAGCCCTCCTGAGGCCAGCAGAATCGAAAATTCCTAACACATTGTGTTAGGACGATTTTTGGGGGTTTGGGGCCCTTTCAAGGCCTTTAGAAGAGCCCTCCTAAGGCCAACAGAACCGAAAGGGGTTTGAATGGCCTCCTGGGCCTTTACAGGCTTTTCAGGACAATGTCCTAGGCTTTTGGGGGGGAATTGGGCCTTTCAGGGCCATGGGAAGCCAGAAAAACCCTAGGACAATGTCCTAGAATTTTTTGGGGGCTTTTGGACAGGCTTTGCAGTGCTGGGGCAAAGCTAGAAAACCCTATGCGGGGCGCTGGGACAAAGTCCAGAGAGAAACCAGGTTGTGAAAGGTACCTTGAACCCTGAACCCCAACACTCAAAGAAGTCCTGAACCCAAACCCTGAACTGAACCTTCACCAAACCTTCCCTACGTCGTTCTGGGAGTGGCCAGCTGTAGCAAGGGCTTTGTTGCTCAGCGAGGCTGGTGGATTGCTTAGGAAAGCAAACAAAGCGCTCGAAATCCTGCTCGTGTTCAGGCAGTATACTTTAGGGGTCAGAACTTTAGGGGTCAGGCCCTAGCAAGTTTGGTTTTAAGCTTCCTGAATAAAGGCGAAAGCTCCTCCGCAAAGTGAGACGCCCTGTTGTGTTTGCTTTAAGCCCGAAGTCACAGCCATGTCTGCTTTTGCGGTGGACATTCGGCGCCCACTGAGAGTGCAGATCATCAGCTCTCCAGGTGCTTGTTGGTCCAAGCAGCTGCAGCCAGCGGATCCTTGGGCTTCGCTCCTTGAGGAGCACTCAGCCCAGTTTTCTTCACCCTTCCAGTATGTGAACTTTGCAGACAACTCAACGGTTACGTCCGAGAGCGACGCTGGCTGTTGGAGCTGGTGCACCTGAACATCGTGGTTCTATTGGCCTTGCGGCCCAGGACTCCTTGGTTCTGGAACTGGGCGAGAAGCTTCATGCACCTTTTCCTTCGTTGGTGGGTGACAGAGACCTTTCCGCAGAGCGTTTCTGTCGCGTCTTGCAGATGGCAAAAATCCCAGAGGACAAGGCTATGACAGCTTGGCGTTACTTGCAGAATGACTTGCCTGCAATGACCAAGGCCACTTGGGAGTCCTCTGCCGTGCCTCACGTGCAGCGCGCTGTCAGACAGCGAAGACGCATCTTCTAGCATGATTTCTTCTGTTCCCAGGGATGCAGTCGTGAAGTGCCTTGGAAAGAGTGCTTTGGGGTTCATAGGGTATGGGGTTCTAAGCCGGCTTTGTTATGGTTTAGGGTTGGCGGCGGTGGCGGCGGTGCCGCCGTCAACTGAGGCCCAACCCTAGGCCGTGAACCTTAAAATGCCCTAAAGTAAGCCTATACTTTAAATCTTAAGAGCCCCAACCTGTAAACTTTCATACCCTGGTACATAAAGAAACCCGAGCAGGGCATTCTGGGCGCGTTTGGCGAGCGGATTCTGGGGACATGCCTCATCCTCTCTGAGGCGGGTTTTAGGCCTTAGGCTTTCGGGTTGTTCGGGTTGTTTAGGCTGCCCCGGCAGCCTCTTGGAGGTACCTAGCGGTTGCTGCGCTGCTGTGCCGCTGCATTGGGAGGCGGGCCGTGTGAACCGCAGTGTGTAAACCTAAACTTTTAAACCCTTAACCCAAACCCCTACCCTAAACCCTAAACCGCAGGCTAGGCTTAAGGCTTTCGGGAGGGTTTGGGCGGGTACCTAAGCCCTAGGCCAGAGTCCCTCTGTGCCTGCGCCCCGAGAGGCTTGGGAGATGGGTTGGTGATGCGGGTGGGAAGGCAGAAATGGGGACGAGATGAGATGTGGTTGTACTCGTTCGCTGAGTTCGCAACGTGCTTCTCGTACAAGACGAAGCTCAAGGACTCGCACTGCTTCGACTGCGCGGGGGTCCTAATTGTTTCTTGGGCTGTTCGTTGTGTGCTGCTTTTTTTGGTGTGGAAAACATCAGTGGTTCCGTGCATTACCGCACGGGCCTGAGAGAGGAGAGAATTTGGGGCAAGGGGGGGGGGGGGGGGGAATTTATTTTCACGTTGCTAAGGAGGGATGTCCGAACTACCGCAGCAAGGGCACGGACTCCGGGCACTGCCGGGACTGCGTCGGGGTCTGGGTTCGTCCTTTTTGCGCGTCTGTGTGTGCGTGTGTAAACTAAAGCCTGTCTAGGCTTAAGGCTTCAGGCTTTCGGGAGGGGGCGGCTACCCTGAGACCTAGGCCCTAGACCCAGTGTCCCTCCATGCCCCTTGCTCCCGTAACCCTAAACCTAAACCTATGAACCCGCAACCCAAATTCCGGCCCAGCCCTAAACCACCGTTAACACCCCCAACCTTATACGTAGGCTTAAAACTTAAGGCTTTCGGGAGGGTTTGGGTTTAGAAGAAGGAAGCCAATGTGTCTCATAGCTAAGCCTTAACCCCGCCTTAAGGGGCCTTAACCCCCAATTTGACCCCCAATTCCCTATGAGCCTTGAGGAATTCAGGGTGATTTCGGCTTTGAGAACTTTGGGGAGTTTTTGAGTCCACTCCTGACCGGCTGGCTCCGCTAGGCCTAGGCCTACTTGGAGGTTCATGGTACTTACAAACCAATTATAACTGGGCTTATAACCCTACTTATCAGTGGGATGACCCCTATGAGGCCCTTTAGGGGTATTATCAGTAGGGTTATATGTACAGTTATAATTGGTTAGTAAGTACCATGAACCTTCAAGTAGGCCCTAGGCCCCGTCACCCGTCACCCCCATCTGGATCCTCGAGCGGCGGGCAATTGTGCCAATTGTGCCTGGCTTGAAGTTTCAACTGGCCTGTTGAACAAGAACTACCCGGCCTGGCTTCTCGTGGAGAGGAACCTGCGTGGTCCGCGCTGGATGATTGGCACTGTCAAGTGTCCCCGGCGGCAAGTTTTGGCTGTTTGACGTGTCGGCGGCGAACACTGCGTGAACTTGCCGGAGCTCGGCCCCGATTGCGTGCACATGGCCACGAGCATGTAGCGATAGGGTTTTGTGCAAAAGACAGACATTTGCAGCTGATGCAGGGGTTCCTCGGGGACGTAGGAGTTGTAGCCTCTTTGGGCCGGTCTTCTCGGGTTTTGATGTCTTCCAGCAACCTGGTCACGTCCCCTCGACGGACCGCTGGGTCCTGCTGACGGGCTTTGCCTCAGAGTGTCTGCCATCCTGCCGAAGCCGCGCTGGGAGTCCTGGTAGATTCTCTTGATGAGCACTTCTCTTCCAGCAGCCATGCGTTTATTTTGCTTCCGACCTCGGGGGTAGGGCGCGGCCGCGACCTTGGTCGAAAAGTAGGGTTTTTATTTTCCACGTTTTTGCGGTCGAAAAGCCTGTTTTTTATCGGATAAATAAGCTGTAAACGCGACTTTTTGTGGTCGAAAAGCCCATTGTTTACTGGGTGAACTGGCTTTGAAGTCGACTTGTTGTGGTCGAAGAGTTTGTTTTGTTTACTGGGTAAATTTGCTTCGAAGTCGGTTTTTTGTGTTTTTGAAAAAGGGCTGTACTCGGTTTGGACCGGAGTCTGCCTACACGGACACTGGTCCAAAGGGTGGTGCCGGCCGAATGCGGGCCGAATATGCGCCACGTGCGTCAATCGGGCCATCACCAGGCCTCCTGCGGGCCTCCTGCGTGCCTCCTGGGGCCTCCTGGGTGGCGCGGTCAAAACGCGCACGTTTTTGGTCCTAAGCGAGATTCTTTATTTGGTGGGCATAGGCCCCCCGAGTATGTGTGTCCCGAAACCGTGAAGGTCAAGAGCCCCAAACCCCACAGCCCCATGTTTCAGAACAAGGATAAAGGGCAGCCTATAAACCCCAAGCCCTGAAACCCTTAACTGGTTTTAGTGGCAGCTGTTGTTTGCTTGGGGCATTCAAGGGATTAAGACTCGCACCCCTGAGGTTGTATCCCTTAAAGTTTCCATAGGCTTCCCAAATTGTAGTCCTAATATGGTCCTTATACTATTTGGTAGCAAGTGCCCCCAAAACCCAAGGAAGAGCACAACCCTAAAGCGTGCGAGGCACAACCCTTAAAGGCATTCGGCGGCTACGCCGCTATGCCCGTCTGGAGAACCTTGTTACAAAATCCCTACCCCCCTACTCGTACCGCTAAGGTTGTGCCCTTTAAGTTTCCCCTTAATACACTCCTAATATGGCCTTTATACTACCTTAACCTTGACAAAATCCCTAAGAGATCTCAGCTTCCGCGTGGGTACATGGGGGGAGGGGGAGCGATCCAAAGTTGGGATCTCCAAGGGGCCAAGAAGACGGATCAAACCTCCAATTTCGAATACCGGTAAGACATGAATCTTGAACCTCCATGCCAGGGATAGAGTCGCCATGTGTGGCCTTGGCTCCCAACCCCTAAACCCTGAACCATTGGTCAGGCTTCCAGGGACGAGCCGAGCACGGTGTCAGCGGAGGGGCTTCAGGGTGTTCAGGCTGAGCACAGACACCCCACCTTGCACCCCCAACACCTTGGAACAAGCCTCTCAGGCCGAGAACCCAAAAAAACCCTGAACCTTGAGTCCCAGTCCCAGACCCCGAGCCCTGAGTCCTGAGCCGTGAACCCAAAACTCTTGCATCATCCCCCGAACCCCCTGAACCCCAAAACCCCTAACCCTCTGGTACCTAAATCTCCAAACGCTCAACCCCCCGAAGCCCCATGCGACCCCCCCCGCAAGGGACGCTGCTCAGCAGCGCGCCCTGCGCTTGGACGCCGTGGGCTCCAACTCGGCGCTCAGCGCGTGCGAGAAGACGCTGGGCGTAAAGTCTGCAGCCTCCCTTTTTCTTAGAGGGTTTGGGGTTTAGGGTTGAGGAAGAGTGTTTAGGGTTCAGGACGAATGTTTAGGATTGAGGGGTTGAGGAGTAGTGTTTAGGGTTTAGGACGAATGTTTAAGGACTTGGGGGCTTAGCCATCAGGGGCTCCTTTGGGCGGCTTCGGGGTTGAGGGCTTAGGGGTTGGGTGCTCGCCTTGGGTCTGCGGCCTCCTCCTTTAGGGGTTTAGGTCTTCGGGTTGAGAGGATTGGGGTTTGTTTCGGGTTTAGGGTTTAGGGTTTAGGGTTTAGGGTCTAGAGTTTAGGGTTTAGGGTTTAGAGTTTAGGTTCACTTCGGGTGTCCTCAGCCCTATGCCCGAATTCCGAATTCCGTCGGGCATCAGGTCCCAAGGGCTTTCGGACTTAACTGGGCGCACTTTGGCGTGTGACTCCCGAAAATGTCTTTGTTGGAGAACCTGTTCATAGCCAGTTTCAATGTTTTTTGGCTTATGCAAGTCATTCGGGCAAATCCAGAAGCGGATCACTTCTAGTTCAACCAAACAGGTGAAGATGCCAGTGGACAGGCTGGATGAGAATAGAAAATCATTGAAATCTTCAGCCCCCAACCCTCAAGCACAAGTTCCCAACGAGCAAGACTTGAGCCCGCCTGTCAATGTAACAGGCCCATACGTTCACACCCTTGGAATCGCATGCCAGGTTAACCGCTCTCTCCCTGTCACACCTTACCTTTTCCTCTTGTCCACTTCACCTCTTGGTTAACCATTAGAAAGAAGACTCATGACTCCAAGATCCACCACTCATGCACTAAATGTACTGGAAACCCTGGGATTCAAGGGGGAAAAGTAAAGGTTAAAGGCTCTCTCCCTGTCACCTAACCTCTATCTCTAGTTCACATCTTTCTACCTCTGTTTCCAAGCCTTTTAGTAACTGATGCTGGAGATGGGCTCTTCACCCTTGATTCACCATTGACCATGTAGTTTTAGTACCAGCGAGTACCAGGATGATAGGGTCTTTTGTCCAGTTGTTTCGGCGGTTGTAGCGTTCACCCTGGTCTGTGAGGAAGTTTCCTGTGGCTTGACCGTTCATTCATTGAGTCCCTCCCTGAAAAAACTGAACCCTAAGACCTACAATCTGAGATCCTCATTTCAGAAAACCCTAAAAACCTGAAATCTATTCGTACTTATCAAGCCATCGGCCCCCTGAATGTTTAACACCCCAAACCTCACGGATGTCCCCCCAGGTGCGGTCAGTTGGGTGCTGCCCTGCGACTTCTGAGGAGGCCCCCGATGTTTCCTATTGGGCTTAGGGCTTAGGGCTTAGGGTTCAGGGTTTAGGGCAGCTTTAGAGGGGTTTTAGAGGGCTCGGAGGGTCAGGGTTTAGGGGTTTGGGGGTTTAGGGGCTTGGGGGCTTAGGGGCTTAGGGGCTTAGGCTTCTGAGGTTCAGAGGTCTAGGAGTTTCGGGTTCTTCGGGCTTCAACGTTTCGGTTTGGGGCAGGGTCTAGGGGAGAGTTGCTTGTTACATGTCGGAATTTTCGGGATGAACTACTGCAGCTTCGGAGTGGCAAGCCCGAGCAGCCTGACGCTCTAGCCCCCGTACCCGAAACCCTTGGCCCGTTGCAGGTTTCTCGTGGCGTCGCTGCTCTAAGCACATGCAAGAACCTGGTGCAGACTCGAAGTCCGGGCAACACGGTGCGCCTGCATAATTCATCAAAAGCAGCCCGACACCTCAACAAAACAACCGCAAGCTCAACACGGAGTGGACAGCGAGTCCACACAAAAAGACACCATCCCTCCGAAATGAGGTGGGGGGAATCGAAGGATTGCAAACTCATCGTTGCTCATCATTTCGTTGGTAGCCACTTCTGGGTTCTTCTTTAAAGTAACCAACCCAAAATAGTACCCTCATTATAACCCTGAGCATACTCCTCCAAGGCACGGGGAGAGGCAAACCACAGAGCATGTCCCACAAGGTGAGTGAAATCAGTATCACCAACACCCTGGCCAGCCAAGAAGCATCCGCATACAGTGATTACGTACGTACATCGAGCCTAGCGCATCACTCCGAACCGGACAGGACCAAATGCCATTTGGTTGCATCCTTCCAATCACAGCCCTAAGCCAGGAATCGACGATGAAGAGTCCAGCGTTGTGTTGCTATCTTCCGGCTGCTTGCCTCCCATGTCCCTTCCCAACGTCCCGATGTTCAAGATTGTGTGCCACCGATCGCCACAGCATCTCAGCGAGCTGCTGGGGAAACATTGGAAGATGAGCTGCGAACTGCGCATCCGCGTCAACAGAACACCTCGCTCTCACGAGCTCGAATCCCAAGGCTTCACGCCCCTCAGCTTCCGGTGTTTCTTGGGCAGCTGCCTGCTCATGTCCACGAGAACACTTCGTTGAAGCCAGTGCTTCCCCATGGACCCCGACATGGTCCGCAGATTCTCTGCAGCTTGGTCATGAACGTACTCAGTGCGTGCACTTACTCGTTGGGAACATCTGAGTGATGTTGGCCGACAACGGCTTGCCCTGAACGGTCACCTCAACGAACATTCTCCCCTGCTTCGTCATGGCGCACCACATTTCTAGCAGCCCTCAGATACCCACCGCTCGCTTCAGAAACAGACAATATTTTTAATCAGGGATCCCCATTTGCTAGCCTAAGTAGTATAAGGCATACCCATCTCACAAAGGTGTATTCCGAATTAAGGGACAGACCTTCAATTCGTATAACGGGTGCCCATGTTAAACCTGAATCATGACATAAGCCGTAATTCAGTTAAGGATCGCCATTCTGGAGAGGGTCTATTCCTCAACTAAAGTCTCTTTGGGACCCCAGAATCCCAGAAACCCTCAAGCCCAAACCCTAGTTTCCAAGTTGAAAATCAGCCCCTTTTTAGGGTTTAGGGTTAGGATTTCGGGTTCTTCGGGTTCTTGCAGGATGTCACGGCGAAGCCTCAGCAACGAAATCAGCGCCGCCCTTGGGTGGGCTGAGGGTTTAGAACAAGGATCTAAAACCCTAAACCCTAAACCCTAAACCCTAAACCCTAAGTTACAGAACAAGGATCCAGGGGCAGCTCCCTGAAGCGCGACCCTTCTTAGAGGTGCCCCCGAATAGAAGGCTCCTCAACCCAAAAAACTAGGACCCAGAGTAGGCCCTTGCTCCCTCCTTTTCAGGCTTAGGGTTTAGGGTTTAGGGTTTAGGGTTTAGGGTTCCCTTCTAAGCCCCTTAAACCAAAAAGGGCACCCTCTCTTCCCCTGGGTCACTCTTGGGCCGAGAAAAAAGGGACCACTGAATCGAGTCCAATGCGCCCCCCCAATTTAGGGTTTAAATTTTATTACTATCCCAACTATGAACCAATTTAGGGCTCATTTCGGCTCAGGACCCTTTGGAGTTCAGGGCGCCCTCTGTTTTCTTACAGGGGGCGCCCCCCTGTGGGAGGGTTTCAGGGTTTGATGCTCTTAAAGGTCCAGGGGTTTCGGGTTCAGGGTTTGGGGTTCAGGGTTTGGGGTTTGGGGTGTTTGAAACTCAAACCCTAAACCCTGGGTCAACCTCCCTAGAGTGCTAGGTGCACCTTTGGGTTTAGGTTTTGGGTACCAAGCCACTGTCGCAACCAGGAGCAAGGGGAGCGAACGTGATCCCAAGCTGGCACCTAAAGAAAGATGAGCCCTAGCCGGATCTGTGCTTCATGTTTTCGGCAACTGTATATGGGGCTCAGTATATGAGCCTCCACAGGGTTCTAGGGTTTTAGGGTTTTAGGGTTCTAGGGTTCTAGGATTTTAGGGTTTAGGGTTTTAGGGTTTTAGGGTTTTAGGGTTTTAGGGTTTTAGGGTTTTAGGGTTTTAGGGTTTTAGGGTTTTAGGGTTTTAGGGTTTTAGGTTTTTAGGGTTTTAGGGTTTTAGGGTTTTAGGGTTTTAGGGTTTTAGGGTTTTAGGGTTTTAGGGTTTTAGGGTTTTAGGGTTTTAGGGTTTTAGAGTTTTAGGGTTTTAGGGTTTTAGGGTTTTAGGGTTTTAGGGTTTTAGGGTTTTAGGGTTTTAGGGTTTTAGGGTTGTAGGGTTTTAGGGTTTTAGGGTTTTAGGGTTTTAGGGTTTAGGGGTTTAGGGTTTTAGGGTTTTAGGGTTTTAGGGTTTTAGGGTTTTAGGGTTTTAGGGTTTTAGGGTTTTAGGGTTTTAGGGTTTTAGGGTTTTAGGGTTTTAGGGTTTTAGGGTTTTAGGGTTTTAGGGTTTTAGGGTTTTAGGGTTTTAGTTCAGGGTTTTAAAGTCATTACAATTTGAAGGATCGTGAACTGGGACTTCCTAAAGCCTATAACCCCTCTCAGGCTACACTTGCGCCATCGGCTCCTGCGAGAAGTCTGAAGACTGGGAGTTGGCGCTGCGCCTTCTCGAGGACGAATCAGAGTTGATTTAGGGCTTAGGGTTTAGGGTTTAGGGCTTAGGGTTTAGGGTTTAGGGGTTAGGAGGTTCAGGAAGTTTAGGGTTAGGCAAATCAGGGTATTGTAGGGTTTAGGGTTTAGGGCTCAGAGATTATTGCATGTAGGTTGAGGAGGTTGTAGAAGCAGCTGCTGCGCGTGGCATGTGTCTCTGCTGTTCCCTATAAGAGTGTCGTCTAGTCTGTCAGCACACATGGACACGCGCACGCACGCACGCATGCACGCACATGCTTGCTGATAGTGCATTTCAGTTTTGCGCCGCCCTTAGAAGTCGAGAAGCGCCCATTCTGTGGCTGAATGTATCTGTATCCGATTTTATGAACCCCTAAACCCTACACTTTAAGCCCCGTGCATAAAGTGCGCGCTTGTTGGCTGTATGAAGCAACAGGAGATGCAAGAGCTGTCTCTTCCTCCAGAGCCTTGGCTGAGATTTCGGACTTGGAGATGGGTTTACGGGGGCTTCGGGCGCACAAACACCAAACCCTGCTGCCTGGCTCAGAGGTTATGCGAGGGTTGTCCGAAATCGTGGGCCTTGTTCGGCAGCACGTGTTTTGATCAACCCACCATATATGCCTTTGACATTAAGAGGCTCTTGTGAGGGTTTCCCTAAACCCTGAAGACTACGGGGCTAGTCGTGCGACAAGGTTAGGGCTTCGTTCTTGCTCTTTGCCTGCGACGAGGAAGGGTTGAGGGTTGAGGGTTCAGGGTTTATGGTTTAGGGTTTAGGGTTTAAGGTCCCAGCTTCGTTAAGTTGCCGGACAGGAAGGCTTTGGGGCAACAGCCTCAGGTCATCAACCTTTGCGAAGTCTGAAGTCCCGAACCCAAGCCCCAAACGTATTTTATATGTACTTATGTATATCTATATATACGTACATATAAAATACGTTTGGCGCCCTTCGGCAACCTTCAACCACGGAGGCCTTTAAACCTTAAGTCCCAGTTTTCCAAGCCCTGTAGCCTAATCCCCGTTCCTTGCGCGGACGCTTTTGAGTTTAGGGGCCTGAAATTTCAGTCAGGGTTTAGGGTTTAGGGTTTAAGGGCCTGAAGGGCCTGAACCCCAGAATTCATGAGCCAGCGCGAAAGTCATATTCCACAGACAAAATCCCCTGTATAAGAAACCTATAAACACATAAGCCCGGCAAGAACCCTATCCCAATAAACCTTACAAAACCAGTGAGCCCTATAAACCCTATAAAAAAGATTAAGCCCTCAGCACCAAACCGAAACCCACAGATCCTTCCAGACCTCTAAATCCTAGTCCCTACACGGCCCACTTCTGGGCCCTGCTTCCTAATCTCCAAAAGGCCCTGGAAGCTCTGAACCCTAAACCCCACTCTCCTCATCTTCAACAATCCCTGGAAGCCCTAGAGACCCGAAAGCATCCCCAGGGCGAGATTGCTTTCCGTGCAGCGCCCGAGCCAGCAGCACATGGGGATGTGGTGTCTTGAACCCTGAGGGGGGTGTAGGGTTTAGAGCCTAAACCCTAAACCCTAAACCCTAGGGTTGTTGAGGGTTCAGGGGTTTTTGGACCCGATCGGCCCAGAACACCTAAAGCCAGTAGTGCGGGAGTTTTTTTTTTTTTTTTTGGGGGGGGGGGGGGTTGTTCAAGGCGCGGGGCTTAAGAAATAGGGTCTATGGCCTAGGGTTCAAGCATGTACGGTGTTCCATGAGTTGCCCCTCAACGCTTTGCAGCTGTTCTGATGGGCTTAGGGCTGAGGGTTTAGACCCCAAAACCCCCTGAACCTCAAACCCTCACACTCCCACAAAGCCCCCTCCAAACCCCCGACATCCAAGAGCTGAACCCCTTTCGTAGAAACAGTACGGATAGTATTTTCAGTAGTAACAAGAATCAAAGCTCACCTCCCGAACCTTTATCCCCGGACCTAACCCTAAACCCGCAATTAGGTAATCAGCGCCTGCCCTGGGTTCAAGTGGCCGCTCGCGGTCGACATGCTGGAGACCATGAAGCATAAAGGGTTGAAAGATGGTGGGCTTGAGATTCCAGAGTCTAGAATACCTCTAAGCGCTAAACCCGAAACCCTAAACCCTAAATCCTAAACCCTGAACCCTAAACCCCTAAACCCGAAACCCTGTGGCACTGCTGAGCTCTCAGGATTCCCGGGTTCACTACCAGTTGCTTAAGAACCCCCCAAAAAAGACAAACATATTTCTTCCTTATTTAGGGGAATATGGGGATTATTCGTTTCTAAGGGGCAATATAGGGATTAGTATGTTACATTCTTTTGGGATTCTTAAGCAAATGGGAGTTCAGGCTTCTGAAGTTGTGGTTTTTTGTTGGCTTGTTCGGACCCTTGGGGGAGGGAGGTTGGGGAGGGAGATCTTTGCCTACTCCGTTAGGGTTTTTGGGGTTTCCTAGGGTTTTCAGGGCTTTTCGGGTTTTGGGGATTTTAGGGTCGTCAGGGCTTTTAGGGTTTTTAGGGTTTCTAGGGTTTTCAGGTCTTTTGATTTAGGGTTTTAAGGCTTCTAGGCTTCTAGCTTTTTAAGGTTTTTTAGTGCTTCCAAAATCCGAGCACGTCGTTGGCACAGGCACCGGAATGTCGGGCATGATGCTCTCCCTAAACCCTAAACCCTAAACCCTAAACCCTAAACCCTAAACCCCTAAACCCCTAAACCCCTAAACCCCTAAACCCCTAAACCCTAAACCCTAAACCCTAAACCCTACCGACCGCACTGGCAGCCAGAGCCTTTCTTTGCGCAATCACGCACATATGGGAGTGAACTGCATCACATGTCGCTTCATTCAGTGGCTCGTCGGGAGCTGAACTGGTTGCACGGTATCCCGTGATTCTGAGCCCTCCTTCCATCAACTGTGCATCAAACTTTGCCAACACCTACAGTCGTTACACCTCTGAAACCTGAAGCCTCGAACCCTAAGCCCTAAGCCTCTACATAACCCTAAACCCTAAACCCTAAACCCCAAACCCTAAACCCTAAACTCTAAACCCTAAACCCTATACCTCTACCTAAGCCTCTAAACCTCTAAACCTCCAAAGCATCCAAGGATCGCATGGAGCTTGCGAGCGCAAGTCCACGTGAGATCAGCAACCCGACCTCAAGAGGGCCTAGGCTTAAAATGTAAGGGCTTTAGGGGTTTAGAGGTTTAGGGGTTTCGGGGTTTAGGGGTTTAGGGGTTTAGGGTTTAGGGTTATAGGGGTTTTGGGGTTTAGGGTTTAGAGGTTGAGGGTTCAGGGTGGCCACAACGGTCACCGAAGTACTGGGCCCATGAGATTCCTTGGGCCCGAAATGCACGCGGGTGCACACGCGCAAGGGGCTTCCCCGGAACCAGCAACCGTCATTTGAAGCCCTAGTTTTAAACGGAAATCCGACATGTTTTCCAGGTGGGCCCCGGTTGGGTTGAACAGGATCTTACTGATTCACAGTTTCCAGAGGGCCAACCTTTCTCTTCTTAGAGTACGCGCAAGACTTCAAGGCTAAACACTCTAACCCCTAAAGCCCTCAAGCCCCCAAAACCCCTAGCAGCCTAAAGCCCTTAAACCCCCAAAACCAAAACCCCTAAAAGCCTAAACCCCCGCCCCCCTAAAACCCCCAAACCCCCAAAACGCCTACAACTCCCAAAACCGTCAAAACCCTCTACCGACCCCCCCCCAAACCCTAAACCCTAAACCCTAAACCCTAAACCCTAAACCCTAAACCCTAAACCCAGCAAAGGCTTCAACGCGGCCCTCACCGCGGCGGCGCGGGGGGGAGTTCCAGCTTCGGTTGCCGCCGCGCTGCTCCGGCGGATGTGCGCCAGGGAGGCCGCAGGGTTTCTTGGGTCTCTAGGACCCTTTTTTTTCTTTTTTTTTTTTTGGGGGGGGGGGGGGGGGGGGTGTTTTTTTTTTTTTTTTTTGGGGGGGGGGGGGGTGTTTTTGGGTTTGTTTTTGGATTTTTCGGGGTTCTGTGGGGTTTTTGTAGGTGGCTGGTCTTCAAGCTTCTTGAGATTTTTGTTTTTTTGGACTTTTGGTGTTTGGGGTTTGTTTGGGGTACTGGGGCTTGAGGTTTTTGGGGGTTTAGGGTTTTTCCCAAACAGTGCTTGCACAATGGGGTTCTTACGTTCAGAGTAAAGGAATTGGTTGCCGGCCGCAACGGCGCACGCGGCGGTGGGGCGGGGCCTTGGTTTCGATGCTCCCGCTGTGGTTTCGCGCGAATTCCGTTGCGTTTCGATGCTCCCGCTGTGGTTCCGCTCGAATGCCGTTGCGTTTCGGTGCTCCGCCCTGTGGTTTCGCGCGAATTCCGGCTTCTCGTGGCCTCTTCTGGGGGCCACTTAGGTTGCCGGCCGCAACGGCGCACGCGGTGGCGGTGGGGCGGGGCTTCGTTTCGACGCTCCCGCTGTGGTTTCGCGCAAATTCCGTTGCGTTTCGACGCTCCCGCTGTGGGTTCGCGGCGAATTCCGTTGCGTTTCGATGCTCCCGCTGTGGTTTCGCGCCATTTCCGGCCACTCGTGGCCTCTTCAGGCCTCTTCGAGGGGGGCCACTTAGGTTGCCGGCCGCAACGGCGCACACGGTGGGGCGGGGCCTTCGTTTCGACGCTCCCGCTGTGGTTTCGCCTCTCGTGGCCTCTTCAAGCCTCTTCTGGGGGGGGCCATTTAGGTTGCCGGCCGCAACGGTGCACGCGGTGGGGCATTCCGTTGCGTATCGACGCTCCCTGCTGTCGTTTCGCGCGAATTCCGGCCTCTCGTGGCCTCTTCAGGCCTCTTCTAATAGGGCCACTTGACAATCCAAAAGTTTGGAGGCCCTGAAAACAAAAAGAATCCCTAAACTGATAGCCCCAAACTTAAGACCCCGAGCCTTGAAGTTTGGTCCCACGAAAGCCAAGTCATCAGAGAGGGTTACCCTAGAACCTTCAAACCCCCAAACCCCCAAACCCTAAACCCTAAACCCTAAACCCTAAACCCTAAACCCTAAACCCTAAACCCTAAACCCTAAACACCCCTAACTCCCTAAGCCAGAGAGGTTCTTCCCAATGCCGGCAGCTACAAAGCGGCCGCAACGATTTTCGAGATGAGCCGCAACCTCAGATGCCCTCCAAGCCCGATGGTTTGAGTTTAGGGTTTAGGGTTTAGGGTTTAGGGTTTAGGGTTTAGGGTTTAGGGTTTAGGGTTTAGGGTTTAGGGTTTAGGGTTTAGGGTTTAGGGTTGCTTTGTAATTCTACTTCTTCAAAGTGTTCTGAAGTATGGGGCCCTTGGTTTCTATGGGACACATGAAGGGTTAGATAAGAGTTGCCCAATTCAGGGCCTACTTTAAGGGACCATGTAACTGCCCTTGGCTGGGTATTTCAAGTCTTGGCTTATTGGGTTTGAGTGGATCAGATTTAGGAATTTTTCTGAGAGCGCCTCAAGGGCCATCCTTGTTTACGTGGTTGTTTTTCTCTCGCTCTTAGAAATGTTGGGCCATCACAGTTGGACAATGAGTTCTGCTCTTCAGTACGGTTCACTGCTAAATTAACAGCTGTTGCCTTTCCTGAATCAAAAGTCCTACTATGAAAATACCAGGTTGAACAAGTTGACTCAATACCTTTCGACCCTCAAGATAGTCCTCACAAGCCAGTGATCATGCTGAGGGTGTTCGTTGTCTCCCTTTCGGCATCATCCAGGGCAAAGGGATCCTCGCACAGTCCCGAACGAAAAGGCTCCAAAGAAGAGGTTTCACTTCCTGTCCCTTTCCGCGGCCTCGACTGCAAATGGAAACACGCTCCTTTCTATGGCTTGCCGTCGTCCTACATGTGCCACGGCTTTGTTCGTTCTATCACGCAAGCAAAACAACATGGTGGGATCACCCCTTTACACTGGCTGAGGGCATGTTGAAGTCTTTCAACACCCAAGCCAGGCCAGGCCGGCCTCGCTCTGACATTCTTTACACATGAATGTAGCAGCGGCGCGCTTTCAAATTGCGTACGTTGCGAACACGACTGCGACCGCTTATACAGTGCCCGACGTAGCGTACGTCACGTGATTACCGGGCCACACTGGGTCGAGCGAACCAGCCACCTTGCAGTGCAATCACCGACTGCTTGCAGGATCTTCTGTCGTTTCTGGGGTACGGGCATTCCTGTCAAGGGTCTTCTTGATTCTGCCACACGGACCTGTCGAAGATCATCAGTGAGGCGGAAGGCGATGTAGTGGCCTTCCGTTCATCGCTTTCAGATGGTTACCAACGCCTTTGAGCGCTTTCGAACACAACACGCGCCATGTCATGCAACCTCCCGGGCGCCCTGGAAGCACAACTCGTAGAATGGCAGCCCTTTTGCTACGCGTTCGGGAGAAACATGCCCGGAAGTCTGGGTTTCTGAGGTTAGGGGTTGTTACGAGCCGTAGTTCTGGTACCAGTTGCTCTGGTAGTAGTGGTAGTGAGGGTAGTAGGAGTAGTGGGCGCAGAGAGGAAACGTTCGTCCGGCATAGACTATAGGGAACACCCACCTGCGGCTTAGGGGCCTTTACTGACAGCATGAGCCCCGGAGATCAAACCCTAAAGCCCCTGAGGTTCCTTAAGCCCGAATCCCTAAAGTGCCTGAAGTCCCCCCGAAGTTCCCGAAACCCCTCAAAACTTATTCTAAGAGCCCCTGAGCCTCCTAAAGCCTGAAGCACCCAACACCCTAGGCCCCACACCCTAAAACCCGAAAAACCCTAAACAAAAGAACCCCTAAACTTTAAACGCCTAGACACCTAAACTCTCCAAACCCTAACCCTAAACCCTAAGACCCATAAACCCTAAACCCCTAACCCTAAACCCTAAAACTAAACCCCTAACCCGAAACCCTAAACCCCTACACCCTAAAAACCCCAAGAGCCCAAGGGAGTGAAGCGCAGCCAGCGCTGCGAATCTACCAGGAGCTGAGCGGCGACTCTGCTCTGAAGACATGCTAGGGCTTAGGGCTTAGGGTTTAGGGTTTAGGGTTTAGGGTTTAGGGTTTAGGGCTTAGGGCTTCGGGTTTAGGGCTTAAGGTTGAGGGTTCAGGGCTTGGGGTTTGGAAGAGAGTTTAGGTGGTTTAGGGTTTAGGGGTTTCGGGTTTGGGGTGGTTTGGGGTTTGGGATTTGGGATTTGGGGTTTGGAGAGTTTAGGGGGTTTCGGGTTTAGGGCGTTTGGGGTTTCGGGTTTTGAGTGGCGTTTTGGCAGAGCTTGGGACCCCAGGCCCTAGACCCTGTACCCTATCGACTTTTTAGGGTTTAGGATCTAGGGTTTAGGGTTTAGGGTATAGGGTTTAGCTTTTGTAGGGCTTTAGGTTCTTAAAATTTCTGGCTGTAGGCCTTACAGGCTTTAGGGGTGTAGCTTATGGTTTAGTTTTTGGGGTCTCGGGTTCTGGTTCCCGGGGTGGGCTTCAAGTCCTAAGACCCCTACAAACCCTACAAACCTTACAAACCCTACAAACCCTAAAACCCTCACCCCAAACCCTAAACCCTGACCCTAAACCTCCTAAACCCTAAACCCTAAACCCCCTCACCCTAAACCCTAAACCCTACAAACCCTGTAAAACCCTCGAATCTCTCAGGTTGCGTCGGCTCGCTGCTGTACGCCGTGTTTGCACCAGCGGCTTCCCCCGCCCCCCCTGCGAAGAAAATGCCGAACGACTTTGCACAGTCTGGTTTGGGGTTTAGGGTTTAGGGCTTGCGCACGCCACCTTGTCAGGAGAACTTGGTAGTGGTAGGAGAACTTGGTAGTGGTACCCTGTTGCCCTTTTTTTGGTTCAAGGTTGCCTTATGAAGTAACCTTACTAGAATGTGGTTACTGGGCTACCAAGAGAAGATGGGCTAAATCCCTACACCCCCCAAAAGGTCGGGGGGGGCCCTTGTGGAAGGGCCCCCTTAGAGGGGAAATTCTATCTGGCCCGGGTTTGTTTTTTAGGGTTTGGCGTGTAGGGTTCAGGGCTCAGGATATAGAATGTAAGGGTTCAGGGTTCAGGATAAAGTTGTCAAGCCCTTTCTGACAACCCCGTCCTCCCCCTTCGCACACCTCTTCGTCAACTTTCCCCAACTCCGTCTCACGACGAGCCTCCGAAAGCTTAAGCCCCCCACAAACCTGGGTTTAGGGTCTCTAGGGTTTCACGGGCTTTTTTACGGGGCATAGAAGGGTTCCTCGATGAAGAGCCGCCTATCAGAGGACCACGTAACTACCCCAAGAGTCTGTAGGGTTTAGGGCTGAGGGCAGGTAACCCGAAACCCAAAACCCTAATCCCTAAACACCAAACCCTAAACCCCAAACCCTAAACCCGAAACCCTAAACCCTGAACCCTAAACCCTAAACCCTAAACCCCAAACCCTAAACCCCAAACCCTCAATAGCACTGAGGGCTCAGAGGCGTTTTTTGGCCCAGGCCCCGGGTGCCGGGCCACTCCCGGGAGCGTTGCCGCGCAGCCCGAGCAGCGGGGAGGAGGACTCTCCGGAGCCCTCTTTTTTTGTTAGTTGTTTTTTGTTTCTTTGTTTATTTGTATGTATATGCATTTGTATATGTATTTCGTTCTTTCTTCTTTCTGTGCTTATTTCTGTTTTTTGTTAGGGGGAGGGGGAGGGGGAGGGGGAGGGTTGTAGGGTTGTACGGTTTATGAGGTCTACAAGCTTTGCTTGTGATTTAGGGTTTACATGGTTTTTTCGGTTTGTGTTTCTTTTTTAGGGTTTCAGGTTGTAGGATGAATAGAGTTTATAGTTTATAGGTTGGGATATTCCCCCTTTTACTAACAGTCCTGAATTGGCATTACAGTTGGGGGGCACCATAATCCCTGTCAAGGACTGTTAGTATCCCAATCTACAGGGGTTGCTTTGAGCTGTTTCAATACCATGATCATTTTATGATTACCATCACAATAATTGTGACTGCCACGTGTACCATCATCAGTATCCTGTTCATCCTCTTGATCTGCAATTCTCTTTTGAGCAGGGACAGAGTTGGGAGTTTAGGGTCTAGGGGTGGGTTTTTGCGTTACAAACATAGCGTTTATACTCTGTATTGTTGGGTGGGGCACACTCATTGGCTTTGAGGGCTTTTTCGGCGGCTGAGTTACAAGTGAACTGTGGAGGCTGGTGATTGCACGAAGTTGAGATTGGGCTTTCAAGGGGTTTAATGCGCTCTGTGCTCACAACAGGTGCGGCGGTCGGCACCTTCCTGCGTGGAAGTGGTCAGATGCCTACCTGGACCTCCCCCCTTCCTGAAGAGTTACATCTTGGCCTTAACTGTAGGTAAGTAAGGCAGAATGGGGTTCCATACCTGCGTTAAGGATTCTGAAGTCTGGGGCCCTTTTTGTTTAAGTTTTCCAAAACTCAGGGCCCGTACCAAAGGGCCTTTTGAGCAACTGCCCTAAGATTCAAGAGGCACCAGGCGTGGGGGGGGAGGGGTCCGAAACAAGCTTTTAGCCAAGGTTTAGGGTTTAGGGTTGAGGGTTTAGGGTTAGGGTTTAGTATGGTTGCCCTACTTACAACCCCTAAACTTCCAAACCCCAGCTCTTACCACCCGTGCACCTTAAAAGCCCGTGCACCTTCAAAGAGAGGTATCCGGCCCTGTCACGTAAAATCCTAAACCCTAAACCCTGGCAACCTGTGAAGGAGTGCCTGATGGATGGGATCCTCGAGGATGGTTTTGCACCGGTTCTCACCCCAAATCCTAAACTTATGGTAGGCCAATGGATGTTTCCTGTGTAAGGATTCTTCGGCTTTAGGGTTTAGGGCTTAGGGCCTGGGAGGGTTTGAGGTTGATGCCCGAAGTCCCGAACACGAAAGCCCCCTACATTCTTCAACAGTCTTAAGAACCCTAAAGTTTGAACCTTAAAGTTAAAGCCCTGAATCTTAAGCCTCGAGCCAAACATCTTAAACCCTAAGCCCAAAACCCTGAGGCGGTTAGATCTTCAGGGCTGTTGGAGCTCGAGAGTGCTTGAGCTTCCCGCCACTGAATGGATTCTGGGGTTTGGGGTTTCGGGTGTAGGGTTTGACGGTTGTGCCCCGGGCTAGGGTCCAGGTTTGCTTTTTGTTCAGGGTTTGGGGCTTGGGGCTTGTTAAGCGTTGAGGGCGGTTTGGCAGGCGTGGGATTAGGGATACCTTCATGTCCCCCTAGATATTCCTGTAAGGGATCATACAGGGCACCTGATTCCCTAATTCCATGCTAGGAATGAACTACATGAATGAATGTCCCCATGCTGCGTAGGAGCTGAGCTCAGGAGCCTAGATTCCCACCAAAATGCCCTTTTCAATCCTTGTACAAAAAGTATAAACTACCCGAAGGACCGATTTCTCCCTTCTCCTACAATGAAAAAGGGCCCCCAAAAAACATGCGTTTAGGGTTACGAGTTTAGGGTGTAGAGCTTAGGGTTAGGGTTTAGGGTTTGCGAGGGAGTGATTTGGCAAAGTGCCTGGGATCCAGTCTAGTCATGGATGGGGGTTTGTAGCTTTGGGCCCCCTGAACAGCCTCAGCCCCTGAAACCCCTTCGCCCCCAAACCCCCCAAACTTGATCCAAGCTTTGCAGGACGCTGGGCTCGTCTTCCAGGGTGACGGGATCATCAACGAGGCCGGAAGCAGGTGTCTTTAGGGCGGGGCGAGGCCGGGGGGGGTTCCGCCTTAGGGTTTTGGGTTTGCTCCGCCTGGGGTTTAGGGTTTTGGGTTTAGTTGTTAAGGGGTTTTTCGGACTTGAGGGTCTTAGGGCTTTAGGCGGCTCAGTTGTTAGGGTTTCAGGGGAACATTTCTTTGAGCGCCATGAGGGCAGACGTGGGAGGTTTTCACGCGTATGCGCTCTGGCGCCGACCAGCGCTCTGGCGGCCCGCGGGTCTCTGAAGCTGTTGCTGCAGAGGTCCCTGCTTGCTGGTTGACAGGCCATTGGCGCGAGTGCTTGCATGCACTTGTAGACGGCACAGCATGTCCAGTGAAAGGGGTCATCGACGATTGGCAGCGGACTGCAGTCTCTCAGCGGACTGCAGTCTCCTCTCTCAGACTGCCGATTCTACAGACTGCAGTCGCTCTGCAGGCTGTGCCTGCTCTGAAGTCGCCTCAGTGGATCATCAGCCGTGGATGTCGTGAACCAGAGAATCGGGTTCTCTAGGCGTAAAGCAACCTAGACCCCACAGCAACCCCTAAACTCAAAAACTTAGACCGTTCGCCCAAGTAGCCTCAAAACCCTGAACCCCTACAGCTCCCGAAGCCTCTAAAGCCTGAAAGTCTCCAGAGCGTATGGGGTAAGAGGCCGAAAACTTAAACCTTACAAGCCCTAAACCCACCCTTCGGCCCCGCAAAACCCTAAACCCACCATAAGCCCCGCCCAAACCATGAGGAGCCTAAAGATCCGAAGACCTGAACTCTCTAAACTAAGCCCCCTCAAACCGCAACACCCAACCCCCTGCTTTCAACCCCATCAACACGTTCCAAACCCTTCAAAGCCTTCACCGTAAGGCCCCCTACACCCCCTAAGCCCCCCCAACCCCCCCTCAAGCCCCCCCAGACCCCCAAGACCCTCTTGGGCTTCCCTGAACCCTTGAGGATCCCGAACACGAGCTCGATGACTCCTGGCTAGAGGAGGAGCCACATGGTCGTATGTCCCCCTCGAAAATGAGGGTTTTAGAGCTCGAGCTAGATTCGGACTTCGGGTTAGCACAGCTTTTCCTTGGAAATTTGACATGAAAACACAGATCATTACCACGGCGACGGTTCTCGTTAGGGAGGGAGAGGGGTGGGTGAGGAGGGCACGGCTTAGCGGGGAGTAGGCTTCACAACAAAAGGATTGCGGTTTAGGACCTAAGTTTAGGGGGCTTGTCCCTTAAACCTTAAACCGGTAGTGTCTTGGGGTGTGGGGCTTGTAGGGCTTTAGGGCATAACGTTTGGCGTTCGAAAGTTGTGTGGGGCTTTAGGGTTTAGCGAGAAAGGTCTGG